GCGGAGCCAGAGGTTGGCAATTCACTTCCCCACTGTGCCTCCTGTGAGTATGGCCAGCCTGGGTGGCCTTGGGGGCAAGCTGCACAATCCCAGGGCACCCCCCAGAAGAAGGGAACAGTAAACCTCTTCTGAGTATTCTCTACCTGAAAAACCCTGAAAAGGTTAATCATAAGTCAGAATTGACTTGATGGCACATGATGATGATGGAGGACCAGAATGAGAACTCTGTGGAAAGTCATGGGTGAATTTGATCAGTGGAGTATGAAGTTTTAAAGGATGACCAATGGAGGTTAGTGTGTCTAGCCAAGTGAAGCACTGCTGGTGGCTAGACATAATGGTAGAGCTCTAACTAGGAGGAAACAACTAGGGCTCTGTCTCAGGGAATCAGCATTTGAAAAAAAATATGGCAATACCTCTTGCGACCTGTTCAGTCTCCCTTTCTGAAAGCACAGTTTATTTTGGGGGAAACACCACAGTTTCCTCCTTTATCTGGGGGGAGGGGAGGGGGTTGTAACCAAACATTAGGTCATACTGGTTGAGGTCGGCATGCCAATTGTCCTGGTACCAGAATAGCTAGTTATGAATCTGGTAGCAGAGACTGAGTGGAAGGATGCTTCATCCTAGGGTTTGTTTTTTGTTTTGAACAGGTGACCTCTATCTCCACCCTGGTTGTCCAGCCCCAAATATGGTAGAGGCCGCACCTTTTCTCACAAAAGAGAATCAAGTACAATAGTATGGATAGCTACAGAATCAATGTAAGATGATTCTGTAGCTATCTGTTGGCTAGTTTGTTTCTTCTGCTTAGGCCAATATAGTCTGTTGTATCAGTAGCTGGTCAGTATCTATGAAGATACCCAGAAATACACCTTGCACATACTTGGAAACTGTCCAGCCACTTTCACAACAGACTGCTGGGCAAACAAAAGGAACAGACAGGTTTCTGTCCACTAAGGGCTAAATCCAACTAATAGTCCCAAATGGAACAGACCTGTTGAATGAGTGGGACTGGTTACATTGACTCACATAAATCCCATGATTCAGTGTGCCTACTCAAGGTGGGACTACTAGTTGGCTTTAGCCCTACATTTGAAGAGTTGTACTGCAGTGTGAGTACAAGGGAACAGCCAGCCACTGTTGGCTTTGTCTTTCCAGCTCTACTAGTCCCAAAGGGCACCAGCGCCCATTGAACAGACATTGGCACTCTAAAGGCCCACGGGCCGAATCCAGCCCACCAGACCATTTCATGTGGCCCTTGCAGTGTTGCCTGCTACTGTGCAGTGTACAATACGCAGGCACTTACTTGGTCAGCCATAATGCTCTGCAAGGATGCTGGGAATCCGCTCAGCGGGACTTCTAGTCCCAGTAGTGAAGAGTCAGAAAGTGCAGTAATCATTGAACGAGGAGGATTATACTTAGTATGATAAAGAGTAGATACATTTACAGTGGTGCCCCGCATAGCGACATTAATCTGTTCCAGGATTAACGTCGCTATCCGGATTCGTCGCTATGCGGGGGGGAAACCCCATAGGAACGCATTAAAACGGGTTTAATGCATTCCTATTGGGGCGAAAACTCACCGCTATGCGGGGAATCCTCGATCCGGCCACCATTTTCACTGCCCGGTAAGCGTAGGCAGGGTGCGAAAATGCTGCGGGCGGCCATTTTGGAACCGCCGATCAGCTGTTCAAAAAACATCGCAATGCAAAGATTGGTAAGCGAAACGCTTACTGATCATCGCAATGCAATGTTTTCCCTATGAAAACATCGCAATGCGATCGCATTAGCGATCACAAAAAACGTGTTGCTATGCAAATTCGTCGTTAAACGGTGCACTTGTTAAACGAGGCACCACTGTATATAGTCTTACAGATACAATCAGCCCTTTGAAGGCAACCATAATGCTGCAGCCCAAGATGAAATTTGAGTTTGACACCTCTGCTCTAAAATGTCTTGGTAGATACCAAGCTCAGGGCAGGGGGAATGAGAGTATAGTCTCACTTGGGATCAAGCTCCATCTCAGAAAGGAAATGAAGGCTGTAACCTCCCAGTGAAAAATCAGCCCAGACACCAGGGTTCCAGTATCATCTCCTCCCCCCACCACTAAGGTACAGTGGACCCTTGACTTACGGAATTTATCCGTATTGGAACGGTGGCTGCAGGTCGAAAAGTCTGTAGGTCGAGGTTCCATTGACCTACAATGCACTGAAAACCAATTAATCCATAACCGGCCGTTTATGTTCCATTTTGGGTTTTTTTCCGGTCTGTAGGTTGATTCTCTGGCTGCAAGTCGAACCTACATTTTGCAGCCAGAGAAGTCTGTAACTCCAAAAGTCTGTAAGTAGAGCCGTCTGTAAGTCGAGGGTCCACTGTACTGGAAATAAACCAAAACTTAACGTAAGAACATAAGAGGAGCCCAGCTGGATCAGACCAAGGACCCATCTAGTCCAGCTTCCTGTATCTCACAGTGGCCCCATCAGATGCCTCTGGGAGCACACGAGACAACTAGATAGCTGTCTCCTGATCCCCCTCCCCTGCATCTGGCATTTAGAGGCATCTTCTAAACTTGGAAATTGTACATCATCCCCATCATGGCCTATAACCTGCAGTGGACTTTTCCTCCAGAAATCTGTCCAATCCCCTTTTAAAGGTCAGATGCAATCACCATATCCTGTGGCAAGGAGTCCCACAGAATAATCACACAATGCGTAAATCACTATTTTTGTTTGTCTGTTCTCACTCTCCCAGCACTCAATTGGAGTGGATGTCCCCTGATTTGGGTATTGCGTTTTAGACTGCATCTGTTCTAAGAAACTAATCTGACTCAAGAGGCCTGGAAGGTGTATTCTTTCTGCCCCAGAAGGTAAGAAGCGTTTGGGGGCAGAGTGGTCAGATGATGGTCACCAAGGACTGGCAACGAGCTCTTGCAGGAATGGCCTTGGAGGACATGGGAAACGAGCTGGTTGCGAGGGCGGAGAACAAGAGGAGGTTGGAGGAAGAAAAGCAGCCTGGGCCACCGGGGAGGGGGGGGGCAAGTGGACTGTGGAGGTGCTTTTGCCCCCCACCCACCCCAGCCTCGGCTTGCCTGGGCGGTTCGGAGCCGTCTTTCTGTATCTGTTATCAGGAGGAGCGAATTCGAATGAGGGCCAAGGAAGGGGAGGGAGCGCTTCCATCCGCCGGCGCTGCAGCCGGAGTGGGCGTGTGTGGCGGCGCAGCCTCGGCGGAGGGAGGGAGGGAAAGAGGGAGCGGCGGCCCCCGCTCGAACCTCGCCTCCGCCTTGAAAAAGCGACCGCCCCAGCGCCGGCGGCTGTCACTCCCGGCAGTCGCGAAGGTGCGCCTGAAAAGCAAGTAGGCAACCGCCCGCCCCCCGTCTCCCTCTTCTCGCTCCTGCCTTCCGAAGGCTGCGGGTGGTTTCCTCGCCTCCTCCTCCGCTTTACTTCATATACGTACAAATCAGGGCGCTTCTCCATCACCGGCGTGTTCAACCGATAACGTGGTTAGAGAAGAGGCTCCGCTGTGGCCAAAGCGGGGCGGGAAGGCGAGCCCTTGGCATGCGGAATAAATCACACCCACACACGCACCTCCGAGATGCCGCTCGTCTGCGGAGTCACCGGGGCCTCTCGCCCGCGCCTTCCTCCCTCTCCCAAGGGGGGGGGGGGTCGCTGTTGCGACTTCTCCCTCAAATCCGAATCCTCAGCCAAATCTCCAGAAAGGATCGCTGCAGTTCTTAGTGTGAAATCCGGAGCGAGCAAGGTGTCTCTTCCTGCTGATCAGCAAGCCGCCGCCTCAGCTCGCCATCCCCCTCGACTAGGGAGGCGCTCCCCTCCTAAAATGCCTCCTCCGGCCTAGTTTGACCAGAGCCCGAAGAGCCCTGCCCCCTCACCAGGTGGCTCGAAGGGAGGAGGGCAGCTCGCCCACGGAGGGCATGCCAGCCTTCCCCCACCCTCTGGTGCCCGACTGCAGTACGCAGTTGTTTAAAAACCAGCGGGGCGACCATGGATGCACTAAAGCCATTTTCCTGCAGGGATTTCAAGTTCGGCATTATTCTTGTCATCACACACACACCCCGCCCTTCATGTTGTGGTGCAGATCCCAAAGTCAAAGCGCTACAATACTGCGAACACACTACTTGTCCTTGACACACTCTTCCCCCCCCTCCCGCTATTCAAGAAGCAATTTGGCTCTAATGCGCTCCCCTCCTATCTCACCCGGGTATGTATCTCGTGTCATGAACGTTCGTCGGGATTATCCAAAGGTTGTTTCAGTAGCGCCCCTTTTTTCCTAATTCTTTCCATACTAGTTTCCCCCCCTACTATGCAGCTATCCAAAGCACCTTCATCAATATAGCCCGAGTCGGTGAAAGTAGATATCAAAACTGCCGCCGCCCGATTCAAACTGCCCCGTACAACTGCGGACCTTCGGCCGGCCAAATTCTGCCCTCTCTAATCCCCTCAGACCCTTGAGTCACGGCCCCTCCAGATCGGGCGGGGGGACCCCCCTCCCCCGGAATCGGCTCAGCAGCTTCGTGCTGCTGCAGCCGACCACGTGAGGGCGTCCAGTGTGTTAGTTACAACAAATTAACCCAGGGCTAGCGCCTCCCCCCGGGATTGCCGGCACCCCACGACTGGCCCCTGACATGCTGCTCCCTCTTTTCTACCCGATCCACGCGTCGCCTGGGACCAGTGGCTCTTTCTGGAGGGCCAAGAGCCCTCCATACAGGGCGCCCCCATCCTCTCTCTTCCCCCAGCATAGGGTGCGCCCTTAAAATCGCTTCTGGGGAACCTTTCCCAGCCCGGGAGCGTCCTGACACCCGGGCAGCTCGATCTGGGACCGTCGGGAGCCGCGAGTGCCCAAGGCGCCCCGTCCCCACGAGGCTGGACGCGGCCAGGAGAGGCCGGCAAAGGGACCACAAAAAGCACAACTTGGAGCCGGCCGTCGCGCTCCCTGTTGTTGTTCTCAACGTGGTCCGCCCCGTACTCATATAAGGAGTTGCGGCACAGCCCGCCCAAGCAGAGTGCTCCTCGCAGGCGGAGTGGAGGGTCGGCGTGCGTTTGGGCCCTGAGCTCGCTGGTGCCCTCGCCTCGCCACCAAAAAACCAGGGCGGTGCGAAGAAACACAAACGGCTTTGGAGCTCAGCGTCTCCCACTCGTTTGCCTGCCGGAGCCCTCCTCGCTTTGCAGCCATGTCTGTCGAGCTAGAAGAAGCCGACCTGCCGCTGACCGAGGCGGAAGAGGCGCCGCTGGCTCCGGAGAAGAAAGGCGCGTCGAAGAAAGCCAAGGGAGGCGGTTCGGCCCTCTCCCCTTCCAAGAAGAAGAAGAACAGTAAGAAGAAGAACCAGCCGGGCAAATACAGCCAGCTGGTGGTGGAGACGATCCGCAAGCTGGGCGAGCGGAACGGCTCCTCGCTGGCCAAAATCTACAACGAGGCCAAAAAAGTAGCCTGGTTCGACCAGCAGAACGGGCGGACCTACCTCAAGTACTCCATCAAGGCGCTGGTGCAGAACGACACTTTGCTCCAGGTGAAGGGGACCGGCGCCAACGGCTCCTTCAAGCTCAACCGGAAGAAGCTGGAGGGCGGCCACGAAGGGGGAGCCGGGGGCGGCGGAGGAGGAGGAGGTTCGGGCTCCCACGCCAAGTCGCACAAGAAGGCGGCGGCGGGGGCCTCCTCGGCGGCGTCCACTTCGCGGAAGGTGGTGGAGAAGAAGCCTGTGGCCAAGAGCAAAAAGCTGGAGAAGAAGTCGCACAAGAAAGGCGGCGGCGTCGCGGGCGGGGCCGCCAAGAAGGACAAGGTGAAGGCCAAGAAGACGGCCAAGAAAAGCGCCGCCTCGCCCAGTGCCAAGAAGGTGAAGAAGTCGGCCAAGCCCAAGGCGCTGAAGAGCAGGAAGTGAACGGCTCTTGAGGGGGCGGGGGGGGCGGGCGAGGAGGATGATGATGAGGGAAGGGGGCCGCCGAGGCCCTCCTCGCCTTGGACTAAATTTGGAGCGAGCCCCGAGACATTGGACTTGACGCTCCAAGCACAGACGAACGTTACCTTTATCGGTGGTGTTTTGTGTTGCTCTCTTTAGCAGCATATATATATGTGTATATTTCCCTGGAGGAGGGGGGTGAGAGAGGACGGGGGTGTTCGGATAGCACTTTTCCTCCGTAATCACCCCTTAGTGGGTTCCGTTTTTTTTTTTTATCCGCATTTTATTCGCTGCTTGGGACACCTTTCTCCCGCTTCCCTTCCTTTAAACAAAATAACGGGATGGTTATCGTGGGACCTGCTTCAGGCTTCGCCTTTTCTTTCGCGCTTATCAGCGGCTTTAACTGATCACTTCTGCCCCCCCCCCAAAAAAAACCCTCCCTCCGGCTCCCAATTCCAGGGGGAAAGCGGGGGGGGGCTGGTCTCCGGGTGGCTTCCGTGGGTTTGGGCTCCATCCGTCCTGGGCGGCCCCCTCTTAAGATGGCTGGGGCGCCATGGCAACGGCTCCCGGAGCCCCTCCCTTCCCCGGAAAAGAGGAAAGGGGCTCGGCGCTCTCGGTTGCCTCGGCGTCTGCCTGCGGGACCGAAGTGACGAGCAACGGGGGGGCGGTTCTGCCTTGGAGGGGCCCAGCCCAGCCCGCTGCCGGTGGGATGGGGGAGGCGGCGGCGGCGGCGGAGGGCCAATCTCTACCGGGTAGGGAGGGCGCGTTCTTGAAGGTCTCCCCCCATTTCCTTTCCCTGCCAGCTCTTGTACTGCCTCTCTGGGCCTCTTCAGTTGCCTTTTTTATATCCTTTTGTGTCGGGCAGGGGGGGTTGTTTTTGTTTTGTTCAATAAATGGTTTTAAAAGATTCACGTGCTGCTTTCTGGTGTATGGGCATGCGGGGGGGGAGTTCGTTCCCTTTTTGGGGGAAGGGGGGCTTGCAAACGAGGAAGGGAAGGCGCTCTGCTCAGGACAGTGGTACTAAAGGGGGAGTCGGGGCGGCTGAGGGAAAGGAAGGGGGGGCTTGGCAGCACTTCTGGGAAATAGGGCGCCCTCGGCCCCCGTTGCTTTTCTTTGGGCGCGCCGGAGCCTCATCGAAGGGGGCGTGGCAGCCTTTTTAAAAGACGGGAGGTCCTTACAAAAAATCTTTTCAGAAAAGGAGGGGAAATGGCGCATGCCCTTCCTCCTCCTCGCCGTGCCCACTTTCCGGTAACGTGCGTGCAGGTCTTTGCCAGTTGGGAAGCGGGTAGGTGGTCTCTGCAAATCGAGGGAGGGGGCGGGGCGCGCGCGCGCTCTGGGAAACCACTGCTGGGGTTCGTCGCCATGGCGCCTTCTCTGCCCCGCCCCTTGGCGGCGATGCTTTTACTGCTTGGGAATTATGTCATCCGGCGCTAATACGCGCGAGGAGACGACAGCGCGCTCTGCTGATTGGTTGCCTGTTAGCTGTACGTCAAGCGGTTCCTGCGCTTGTCCTCGCCCGGTGGTCCCGGTGCTGCGTTCCCACAAAAGCTGCTGCTGGTCTAGCAGCTGATTTAAAAGGAAGGCACTGAAGGGGGGGCCGCTTCCAGCCTCGCCTGCTGCGCTCTCTTTGTAGTTTGTTGGAGGAGGGTGCAAGAAAGGTAAAAAACGCAAGACAGCGATGCAACATAGTGTTACCTCGAACCTTTTAGATTAACAGGTACCCGAGAACATGCTGTATAACAATCTTTAGCGATTAGCTGGTGGCTGATCATTTTCTTGCTGATTCTTCAGAGAGGCCCTGCAAAGCCTCCAGCTGTCAAGTTCCTCACCAGGAAAATAGATTATAAAATGGAATGACTTGTTTCCATGTGACAATGGGTCTTTCAACAATCGCAGGAGGATGTTTATCTGTAATCTTCAAACCAATAGTATTAAATGCTAATTCAAGCCCCCTGCTCAAAATCGCAGTGTATTTCGAAAACACACACACACTCCAGGCCTTCACACCAGGGACTGGCGATTACCACAGTATTTGTTGGACTACAACTCCTGTTAGCCTCCACTATTTCTTGTTAGGACTGATGGGCATTGCAGTCCAACATTAGTGAAATCAGCTTCCCTGCCAAAGGAGTTAAACTTCTCGGAATATTCATCTTTCCACACTTCATCTTTCCACTCAGCTTAAATAACAAAGACACAACCTAGGTATCAACAGTTTGAAGGGCATGTCAGATAGTGGTTATGCAGACTGCAGTGAGACTTGTAATCCCAACACAATAGGAAAAATACATGCTCACCTATCTGTGAAGATTCTCAGTCATCCAGGTGAGGTTATCTGGAAGATGAGTCATGGCAACTGGACTTCTTTCTTATTAGGTTGAAATGTCTCACTACTCATCCAAGTAGCTTCTTCAGTCTGAGGAGAGTCAGCAGGAGACTGGGATAGATAGTGTTCGGAGCTCTACGTTGGAGAAGCAGAGGTAAAGGTTCCCCTTGACATTTTTAGTCCAGTCATGTCCAACTCTAGGTTTTTCAAGCTGTAGAGCTAGCGCTTGTCCGAAGACAGTTTCCGTTGCCACATGGCCAGCGTCACTAGGGAACGCTGTTTTACCTTCCCACCGAGGTGGTCCCTATTTATCTACTTGCATTTGCATGCTTTCGAACTGCTAGGTTGGCGAGGAGCTGGGACAAAGCAACACGAGCTCACTCCGTCGCGCGGATTCCATCTTACGACTGCTGGTCTTCTGACCCTGCAGCACAGATGGCCCAGCATAGGAGAGGCAATGGCACAGGACCACTATCTTCCACGCTAGTTTCACTTCCCCCTGGTCTGAATAGGGTCTGGATGGACAAAGGACTGTGGGTGAGGGATAATCCTACTTCTGCAATCCTTCTCTGCTCATTGTCATTGGTCATTAAGGGTTGTTAACGTATGTATAGCCTCCCTGACCCCTCTCTCAGAGGTCTGGTCCAAAATTAGTCATGAAATGCGTGTCCTTTGTCCTTCAAATGAAGGACAAGGTCAAATGGTCATTCCTTATATTGGTGTGTGTATGTGAAAAGCTCAGAAGGATTTTTGGTGAACACCACATACCTCTGCACTTGAAACCCACAAACACACTAAGGCAGAGACTCTTCCACCCAAAAGATTGGACACCAAAACACAACTGGAGCAATATACTATATGCAGCCCAATGCAAAGAGGAGTGTTCAGAGCTCTACATTGGAGTAGCTAAACAACTACTAAACAGGAGAATGGCCCAGCACAGGAGAGGCAATGGCTCAGGACCACAATCAGCAGTGTTCCTTTACTTGAAGGACAAAGGACACTCATTTTATGACTTTGGACTGAGAAGGTATGTGGGTTGAGGGGTCAGGGAGGCCATACATATGCATACAGAAAATCCCTCACTCAACAGGGATGAAGGGCTTAGATACAATCTGTCTCCTATTTATCATGCTGCCCTTTCATCCATCCCCCAAAAGATCAGGACCACACACCAAAAAGACCACTGCTAACTACCTATGACAATGGGAGAAGGACTGCAAAAGTGGGATTTTCATTCACCTCTGTCTTTTGTCCATCTAATGAGCCTATTCAGACCAAGTAGAAGTGAAACCAATGTGGAGGATGTATCAGGGGTCTCCTACCAACTCTCCTCAGACTGAAGAAACTTGTATGAGTAGCGAAATGTTTCTACCTAATAAGTCCAACTGCCATGACTCAACTTCCAGATGCTAGTTTCACACCTGAAAAGCCACCCCTCCACTTAAACCCATTCTGCTGTTTGAGACGGGGTGGGTGGGTGAATCACCTCCTTTTTCCACTTGGAAAAACTAATCATGATGACCCATAATTTCAACACTGGCATTGAGACAGCCTCCTCCATGGTCCAATGCAGCCTCCCTGTATCCTCCAGCACCGCATATCTGCTCCACCAGACTCTACCACTTGAGGGAGCCACCTCACACTCTGCTTAATGGCAAATTCAGTCTTGAAATCTCCCTGCTGTACAAAACTTCACTAGATGTTCCACATCCACAGATGTTCCATGAAATATGAATTAATGTTCAGAAATAGCTGGTTGAGAAGATACATGTTGTCTACCTCTACAGAGGGAAGCAACACCTGTATGTGCCCTGGACCCTTACATAAGTGCAACATTAACCCTCTGTTGGTCTGAGTAGAGAAGTATTAAAACAAGGGTGCAGCCTTAAAGGACATTCCAGCTTGTGCAAGACAGAGTATCAATCGTATATTTATTGTATTAAACTGGTTTCAGAAGCTGGTCTTTAGAAATGCTCATCCATCTGCAACCCAATAATCAATTTAGCCTATTCAGAGCCCTCCAACACATGGCTGTTCTAGATATTGGGACTGCTGAAGGCAATGTACGGAAGCTTTTGGGCTTTATTTATGGAAGCAGCAAGGTAAGAGAATCTCTAAGCTTTACACCCTATTGTAGGCATAACCAGAGGTATGATAATCACAGCCCCCCCCCAAATTAGTGAAATTAACAATTTCATTTATTCACTTAAAGCTCATCTATTCCCCAGTGCAGGTTTCAAAGAACAAATAGTAGCATCCATCTAAACTATACACAGGTAGCTGACATACTAGAGAAAATACCTTGTATCTTGTCCCATCAAGTGCAATGTTTAGCTTAAAACAGTTAAGACTGTTTTCCATAAGAACGTGCATGTAAAAAAAATACAGGCAACTTCACATTCTTCATGAAAATGGAAATGTAGATTCCAAGGTTATCTCCCCACCCCTGCAGCCCTAAAGCATGGTTTTTCAGAGAATTTTTATAATTATATAATTCACTATTTGTTTGTATGTGAATAGTTCAGCAGCATTTTCAGAATAAGGGGGGGAGGGCTTCTGTAGTTTCTGCAAAATACGAAGTCTTAAAGACTAGGGGGCAGACTCTTATTTTTTCCCTTCTACTTGTGCAACAGTCCACTGTATAAGAAGTTGAATTAGTTCCTTGCAGAAGCAGCATCTCCATTTCTGCACTTGTGCAACGTCAAGCCATAGATATATGAGTGGAAGAAGATTCTGCTCCAAAATGTCTTACAATATAGGCCTTTTAGACAAAACCAAAGCTTCTTCAGGTTGCATTGTAAAACCAGAGAAAAGCAGAAGCAGCTGGGAGTTGGGCAGCAATGCTATTCTCTGGTGGAGAAACTTGGAACACCCATTTCCAAACTTTTCCTTCCCCAAAAGCCTTCATTTATTACCCCTCTTATTTTGATTATAAACTTAATTTTTCCCACAGTTCCTAGAATAACTAATTAAATCCCATGCATCTCATGGCAACACAGCAGTTGTCCATACCTATTTGCTAAGGCTAAGAACAGACTGTATCAGTCTTACACAGAACAGAGTACATCTTTCAAATAGTTTCCTATTTATTTAATTCATATTCAGTTACCTTTACTTTTCTGCATTTACTCAAGCTCTTTTGACAGGATTATTTCATGACAGGGGTGCTATTAAACAGGGTCATATGCTAAGATTTCTTGCAGTGTTTCACTCCATAGAAGTGGAAATAATTCATATTCACCCCTATTCCAAAACATTATACTGTATACAGAAATTTATATGAAACATGGGACTACTGTCTTCAAGTCAACTCAGTCCCACTATACTTCCCTCTCTTAAACCTGCCTTCTTTTTGGGAATATAGCCTCCACCATTCACTAAACTATCAGTGCAATAATTTCTACACCTCCAGAACCATCAGATTAGACCATGCCGACTCAAAAAAATGGTCCTTTCCAGTCAAGAAAGGGCAAATTGCTCTTGCCTTGGGATAGCAACTCACATTACTGCACCAAAGTTTGCATATCTCAAAACTAGACACAGGTGCTACTTCATGGGGGGAGGGATTCGGTGCAGCTCTCCTAAGGGTTATAAAATGGGGACCCAAACATCTTCCATACCTGCTGCCCCAATTTGCACTAGGCACTCATTTCTATTAGAATTTTAAAAAGGGAAAAGGCTCGCATCAACATACTTAAGGTGTTTAATACAGCAGGAAAGCTGATTCATTACTATTCTCAAGCAATGCACAGATACCAAGTTACAATATTTGCCAGCATTCGCTTCTTGTTTTGGAGTGTACTTTCCAGAAAAAGGAGAGTCACATTGTTTGTTTTTAGTGCAATTTAAATTCAGTATCATCACTGGCAAAACCAGAAACCAAACAGCACTAGAGGCAGGGATGACACAGATTTCAATCACTGAGGTTGCAAATCATTCGTATTAGCAATTAAGTCACAGTGCCTTTACAATATAGCTATCTTTTCATTATTATAACAGAAATAACCAACAATGAAAGAGTTCCAGTGGGAATTTCTCACAGGTTGTGTACAAGATGCAACAACAATTAACAAATCCTCCTCCTATTTTAAGTGAGTTGAACACAGGGCAAGTGCCATATTTTTTTATCCATTTTTGCACTGGAATGCTTAAAAGAGCACCCAGGCTCAGTTTTGGAAGCAAACGACACAGAAGATATTTAGAGAAAAGGATTCATTAATAGCAATAAAGCTAATAACAGAATCTTTCCCCCTTCACCACCATTTTCCACTCCCTTTCCTCTTGTATTAATAATCCAATGTATCAACGAGATTGTTATTTCAGCTAGGGGTTATTTATGTGTTTATGTCTTTGTTATAGCTTATCACGAGGGATTTTTGGGTAGAATTCTGCCTTATGCCTTTTTTTCCCACCCCAGGGAAGGGAGAGTGGAAAGAGAAGAAATATTTTCCTTCTCATACTCAACAGAAACATTTTAATGAACAAATATGGGACCAATGGCCATTTTGCACTAAGGAACTGGAGTCTCTTATTGTCACTAAATCGTTGTTATATCAGTCTTGATTACTTATATTGAACTCTCTAGCTATTCATGTTTAAAGCTATTATTGTTAGACCAAAAGTGATCAAGTGCCCATGTTCAAAGGGTGCTTGACAGTTACATTTGTTAAACAGGATCTATTTGAAACAAAATACAAGAATACCTTGTATCCGAATGGCTCTCAATACCTGGCCCTCCACATCTTTTGGAGCTCAACTCCAAGAATTCTTTACTGTTCACCATAGCTAAGACCATATGTTAAGAACTTAATGCTGTAAGATGACACAATTTTCCTAGAGGAAGACTACATTTTACCCCTCCACATGCACTTGGAATACCTTTTCCAACTAAATAGCTTTCCTTAGGACTTCAGTCCAACAATCCTATCTTAACATACTTCCTGGAAGCAAGTCATATCACTTTTGAAGACTAGTGAACTTCACACACTTAAATGGGATTTCCATAGATAGAATGGTTTGGCTATCTAATCTGGCATGAGGAATATTCCAAATGCAGTGGGTATTTATCTTAACAGCTATAGAGAGAAGGAATTATTTGTCTGAGCACTTTTATCCATGTGTAGTGAAACACTGGAATTAGAGCCCCATTCACCAAGAAAAGGGCAGGAATGATTTCATTATGGAGGTTCAGAAAATCAATTTTAAAATGAGCTTCACTGGCTCATTTGATAGTATGGCCAAAGCAAGCTTTAGACTTTGGACACAGTTCTATTGCAATGTACTGTACTCATTTATGTATTTGATTTTGGCCCTCAGATAGAAAGGATGAATTTGGCAACTCATGTTGTTGAGAATCAGGGTTAATTCAAGTAAGCCTCTGACCTTCCACTGCCCAAGTTTCCTCCCAGCAACATTCTTGGACTAGGGCACAGAAGTTACTTTTTCATATAGCCGGTAACTATCAGAGTTAAATAAATGATGCATTGGTGAAAGACAGCTTTGATGAGCATTCAAGACTGAACCAATTTAATAAGAATATTGGTTTTGAACTTTTCTAGTATCACAATTTCTGCGTTATCTAGTAAATACAAAGCAATCTTTGACAGAACACAAAATACTGGTCTTGAAAATAATATTGAAAAGATGGGCGGGGAGGGCATGATTACCCAAACTTCTTCCCATTCTCCAGCAATTGTTGACTTTAAAGAAACCCTTCCCCTCTGTGATGCAATATGTTTTCGTTCTCAAAGAAAGAAAAAGCCCACACTCATGAAATGCCTGCGGAATAAGATTGCTATTTAGAAACAAGAGGGTTCTCCCCCCCCCCCGGCCTGCACTGGGATGGGGGTCAGGCAAAACAATGGAGATGGAGGTTCTATTTCTTGGGTATTGCCAACAAGACAGTACACTAGCAAGCCACAGAGTGAACAAACTGCCCTCATTATCCAGTCAGTAAATTATCCAATGTCTACTAATCTAGGTATTATTTGTCAATCCAGAGCAAAACAATACTTTATCCACAGATTTAACACTTGATAGATTGCCCACATGCTACTTAACAGCACATACACAACTGATCATAAATATTACAAGTTCTACTTGTTCAACAGCCTAGGCACTGATGCATGCACATGGTCTATGAGCTTTTCACGTAATCAAGCAAGATTCAGATCTGATATCCCTCCTAGAAGACCACAGCTACTATGCATCACAGAACTGGCTAGTCCAACTTCCATGCTTGTACATTAGCCAAACACCTATTTAATAAACCACCACGTTCACCAGGTATTTTACTCTTGTATAAATTAGGTTTTGTTCACCAAGAGAAAAACCAAATTCACTGAGAATTACAATAAAACAGATGTCACAATTGCACTCTTTTTAAAGTACTCAAAATGAAGTTTGGAACATAAAACACAATGTTTAGTTTAAAGTGCAAACTAGAATACAAATGCTAAATGTCAGTCATAATGAGAGACTGCAACCAAATAACCAAGAGGCAGGGGAGGAAAACAAAACACAACTGCTGTTTCTAGAAACAGCATGCACTTCTAACCTACTATTATTTAGGCAAAAACAAAACAAAACCCAACACACACAGGCTGTTATACTAAACTACTTTGATTGAAGCCATTTTAACTCCACTGACGTCAAGAGAATAAAAATAGACCTAAATCCAAAGACTCTTGCTCAAAATGGGTTTCCAGCTAAGCTGCTAAGCATATTCAAAAGATCTAAATGGCTGGAGATCAGGTTCAGCCATAGATAATAAGTTCCCTCTCTGCTTCCAATCCCCCTCCCCCAAACTTGGCTTGAAAAACAGCTTACTGCCTATGGCATGCACACTGATCCTACATTTACCTCCACTGTATCTAACATGATCTGTATTTTTAGTAACAACCTTACAAGACCTATTTGGCTATAGATAACAGCAGAACCAGAGAGATGAGTGGACATCCTCAGAATCTATAAGATACTGCTTGGGTCTAGGCTGAAGCTAGTAATAACATAAGCAGGATTTTAAAGATTAACTTTGGAACAACAACAAAAATGCAAAACTGAACAAAAAATCAGTCAAGAATGGGGTACAAGCACAATGATACAATGCAAACAAGCAGGGATAGATTAGCATATGGAAATATTACTTTATCAGCATTCTTCCCATGGTGAATTTCCTGGCAGCTTTGCCCCACCCCCTTTATCCTTAAGTCTGTGATCACATTGAGAGGGGAAGTGCAGCACCTGCAAGCAAATAGATCCATCACCATCTTGGTTTCTGGGACTGTTCAGTTTTCAGAGTTTGGGGTGAATATCTGTGCAAAACAACAAAGCAACAGAGAGACTAAACCTTCTACCTCACAAGCCCCTCTTTCACTGTATACGTCCACAAATAGGGAAGAGAAGAGGACCATTGCCACAAATGGTAGCATGATGCCTAAGCAGAATTTCTGGCCTTTCCAGTGTAGACCTGAAGCTTTCGTTGTGCTCTGTGACTTCTCTTCCAGTATCTTGTCTATTTCAGTCCATTGAGAAAAATAAAGGTGCACTATTCATACTTTCAATTTTAGAAACAAAATACAGCCAAAGGGGAAAATGTTCCTTCTTTACCAGTCCTCTCCCCCAGAGGGATATGCAGGAATTTAAGAGAGAAAAATATAGAAAAACCTAATTGCACAGATGCTGTAGATTAAGCAGCTTCAAGGCAGTAGATTCAGACTAAATCATCTGGAAAAGATGGGGTCCAGGAGGGGAGGAAAGAAAACCAAGGAAATCAATCTGCAGGGTACCAGGTGGCAGCCAGGCCCCAAGGCACATGCCCTTTTTTGTGACATGGGAAACACTCTTTCCCCCACCAATCTCTAGGACCGGAAAAAGGGAAAGAGTGCTAAAAGAAGTGAGGAGCTGTATCAGTCGGAGAGGAAGCAAAGGGCCCAGCGGTTCTAGCCCGGAGTCACAAAGGGGGCCAGGGAGGGGGGGCAGGGAGGGAAGGGGAGCACAGAAGGCCCAGGGCGGACTGCACCCTGGCAGGGGATGCGGCGGAGAGGGTGCACCCTCTGAACCAGAGGAGGGAGAGTCCGATGCCCACTGCACCGAGTCCTGCGGGTGGGGCGCTGGGAGGGGCGGGGGTCACACCGTCGTTGTCGCGGATGATTTTTCTGGGGAAATCCCATCAGGCTCATTTCTTGGAGCTCTGCGTCTTCTTGGGGAGCAGGACAGCCTGGATGTTGGGCAAGACGCCCCCCTGGGCGATGGTCACCCCTCCCAGGAGCTTATTGAGCTCCTCGTCGTTGCGGATGGCCAGCTGCAGGTGCCGGGGAATAATCCGGGTCTTCTTGTTGTCCCGCGCCGCGTTGCCGGCCAGCTCCAGGATCTCCGCCGAGAGATACTCCAGCACGGCGGCTAAATAAACGGGCGCTCCGGCGCCCACCCGCTCGGCGTAGTTGCCTTTCCGCAGCAGCCGGTGCACACGTCCGACGGGGAACTGCAGGCCGGCTCTGGAGGAGCGCGATTTGGCTTTGGCGCGGGCTTTCCCTCCGGATTTCCCTCGGCCGGACATCACGGCAAGATGAACAACGCTCGGGAAGGGCGAGGAAACCCGAGCCTCGGCGCACGCTTGCCAAGCAGGCAGAGAGAAACGGCCTCGTCTGGAGATCGGGAGAAAAACAACACACGCGCGTTAGTAACACAGGAGCCGCCAACCCGCGACCACTGCCGCGCTCTCCGGAACGAGTCCTCCATCCCCAAACAGCATCCTAGCCTCCCAACACAGTGGGTCAGGAAGCCCGCCGCCCTCTGGACTTCCGCGACCACCCTTCTACGTAACCCTGACCAGACGTGCTGAAATAGGCGAACATCCCTACCTCTTCAAGAGCGACCACCAACCAGCTCCTGCTAAGGAGCCCCTCTGGTCGTCCACAACCCACCCGCCCCGCTAAAGAGCCGCAGCTGCAATGACAACAAGCGCGAGAAGCTAAAGGATATAAATCCAAGCCCGAGCAGTCGGCGGCTTCCCATTGGCGGCGGCGACTGTGGAGCCGAGCTGTTATTGGCGGGTGTTCCGATCCCTGATTTGCATAGGAGGCTCGCGGCGTCCATGTTCGCATTCGGAAGAGAGCTGGAATGGCAACAGAAGCGCGCGCGCGCGCGCAGACGCATACAGGCACGCTCCAGGCTTGGCGGCCTGCGAGGGGAGCTGTCGGTGAAGGAGGGGAACGTGAGGAAGTCGCCGCTTTCAGAGTCTCTCTCGCTCTCTCGCTCTCTCGCCTGGTGTGGGGCAGGGGAGCGCGCTGCCCCCGGCGTGAACGGGCAAGCTCACGCTTTTTACTCGCCCCTCCCAATGTAACACCTCCCAGAGCTGCCTGGAGATGCGGGCGAGGAAGAGGCAGCCGAGCCTCGAACTGTATTTCCCCGTCTCTCTCTCTCTCCAAGTTCCGTTGTTTTGAATTTCTTTGTTTCCCTCTCCTCAGCTGGGGGCAGGCGGCCAGGGACAGACAAGCACCCCCCCCCCCCACAGGAGGGCCTGGCGTGCTCTGGTCCATGGAGTCACGAACAGTCGGACACGACTAAACGACGACGACGACGAACAAACTGAGGCACAACCCTAGCTACTCCCGATCAGAACACTGGAAGGTGCTCTATGTGGGTCTGCTCTTTAAAATGTTTGGAGACTAGAGCTAGTAAAAAGTGCACCGGCCAGAATATTATTGGGCATGGTGTGTGTGTTTTCTGCACCATCAAATCAAAACCAACTTACTGTATAGTGACCCTAATAGGGCTTTCAAGGTGAGATATTTTAGGAATGTTTTTACCAGTTCTCCAGTGCATTTCCATGGCTAAGTGGGGATTCAAATCCTATTCTATGGAGTCCTAGTCTGTCATTCCATATAACTGGTTTTGAAGGCAACATATTATCAAGAGAGGTAGAGATTGGGACTGCAAACATTCTTGTGCTGATTCTCCCGAGTTCAAAGAGTCCTTGGAAAAAACCTTGATGTTACTGGTTTTGAAGGCAACATATTACCAAGAGAGGTAGAGGTTGGGACTGCAAACATTCTTGTGCAGATTCTCCCAAGTTCAAAGAAAATCGTGCTGGGGAAGGAGAGCAACATGTTCTACTTGGGAAGCAGTTTGCACATCCATAAATAAATGACCCGCATACTGGAGTGAAACTGAAAATGATGTACCATGTAAGAGGCTACTTTATACTAGTCTATGAGTCCATCTAGCTCTGTATTTTCACTGCCTGGCAGGTGAGTTCCATGTTGGGGATTGTGAGGAAAGGAATCATGCTGGGGAAGGAGAGCAACATGTTCTACTTGGGAAGCAGTTTGCACATCCATAAATAAATGACCCGCATACTGGAGTGAAACTGAAAATGATGTACCATGTAAGAGGCTACTTTATACTAGTCTATGAGTCCATCTAGCTCTGTATTTTCACTGCCTGGCAGGTGAGTTCCATGTTGGGGATTGTGAGGAAAGGATAAAACAAAGCGCCAATGGGGTTGTGTCTTTGTACCATGCCATCATGTGTGCATTGAATAGTGGACTGGAACTCAAGAGACTTGGGTTCAACTCCCAGCTTAGACATGGAAACTCACCGCAAGGATTTCATTAATTCAAAAACACCTTGGCAGCACATTATGATAAAAATAACGTGACCATTCTTGGAATAGTGTGTACTTTCAGATGCCACATCTCAAAACAGGTTATTGCAGAGCTGGAAGCTATGTACTGGGATGAGAAGACTAAAAAAGCACTTGCTCATGCAGTATGAAGTTAGTTTATGGAATCTGCAACTCTAATGGCTCCAGTCCCAAAGAAAGAAGATGCCAAAGACTGCAGTAACTAGATCATCCCATTAATCTCCCATGCAAGCATTAAGAAGATTAAAATAATGAATACAGAAGAACTATGTATCTTTGATACGGACAATGAAGAAATTGTTAAAAGGTTCAATCATCAGTCAAACTGCAGTGAGGAAATCAGTAGAAGACTGCCATTTGAAAGGGCAGCACTGAAAGAATTAGAAAATATCCTGACTCATAAGGATGTTTCATTAGAGACAATACCGAAGATCATTGGTAGTATGGTATTCCTATTCACTATGTAGGCATGCAAAAATTGGAATAGTATGGTATTCACTATGTAGGCATGCAAAAATTGGACAATAAAATAAGCTGATGGGAAAAAATATGATGTTGGAGGAGAGCTTTATGTATATAATGCCAGAAAGACAAATAAGTGTGTTCTAGATCAAATCAAGTCTGAATTATCCTCAGATGCTAAAATGACTAAACCAAAAACCTTGTATTTTGGACATATCATGAGAAAACAAGGCTTAGTGGGAAAGATTAATACAGTGGTGCCCCGCATGATGATAATCCATTCCAGGAAAATCGCTGTACAGCAAAATTGTCATCATGCGAAAAAAAATCCTCATTGGAATGCATTGAAAACCGTTTAATGTGTTCCATTGGGGAAAATACGTCGTTGTCCAGCGAAGATCGCCCATAAAGAACCGCCAATCAGCTGTTTTAAATCGCTGTCTGGCGAAGCTTCTGTCCGGAAAACACCCATTTTGGGAAAGGAAGCAATAGCTATAGCGATAGCAAAAAAGCCATCATCCTGCGGTTTCGTCGTTCAGCGAGGTTGTTGTCTAGCAGGGCACCACTGTACTAGGAAAGGTGAAAGGAGGAAGCCATAGCTGTAGCGATCGCAAAAAAGTCATCATCCTGCGGTTTCGTCATCCAGCAAGGTTGTCGTCTAACGGGGCACCACTGTACTAGGAAAGGTGAAAGGCAGTAGGAAAAGAGGGAGATGTAATGTGCAGTGAACTGACTCAGTGAAAGAAGCCATTGACTGTAGTTGACAAACCTGAGGTTCTGTTAATGAAAGGATCTTTTAGAAGTTATTAATACATAGTTGCAAAATAGGGAGACGTAATGTGCAGTGGACTGACTCAGTAAAAGAAGCCATTGACTGTAGCTGACAAACCTGAGGTCCTGTTAATGAAAGGATCTTTTAGAAGTTATTAATACATAGTTGCCGTAAACAACTTGATGGTACGTAACATGCATTGTTGTTACATGCCATTCAGTTGCCTCTGATGTATGGCAATCCTATGAATGAGTGATCTCCAAAATCACCTGTCCAAATAGCCTTGCTCAGCTCTTCTAAACTTAAGCCTGTGGCTTCCTTGATGGAGTTGATTCATCTCATATTTGGCCTTCCTCTTTTTCTGCTGCCGTAAACATTTCCCCGCATTATTGTATTTTCTAGCAAATCTTGCTATCTCATCATATGCCCAAAGTAGGACAGCGCCAGTTTTGCCATTTGGCAAAACTGAGTGGTCAGAAGACCAGATGGGCGGGGGTATAAATCAAATAAACATTTCCCAGCATTATTGTATTTTCTAGCAAATCTTGCCATCTCATCATATGCCCAAAGTAGGACAGCGCCAGTTTTGCCAGTTTTGCCTGCAGAGAAAATTCAGGCATGATTTGATCCAGGATCCACTTGTTTGTCCTTCTGGCAATACAAGGTATCAGCAAAGCTCTTTTCCAGCACCATATTTCAAATGAATTAAATTTCTTCCTATTAACCTATTTCACTATCCAGCTTTTACATCTGCACACAGTAATCAGGAATACTATCATGTGGATGATCTTGGCCTTACTCTCCAGTTACACATCCTTATACTTGATAAGCTTCTTTCCAAGACAGATTAATGAGGAAACAACATTGGTAAAAAAAATATGTCTGTACATGTAATTTAAGGTCAGATATTTTAGTCAAAGGAAATAAATTTTAAATGTATCTGTATTGTTAACCAAACAGCCAGGCACTTTATTTCCATAATAGCAAACATTGGTGCTTAGACACTGTTGTCACATTTGTTAGGTGTGCCACCAATGTGGAAGAGCCCTGTAGCCAGAGCTCCAGAAGGTTTTGGAGTTATCCTCTGCACACGTATAGAATCCTGTGGAGAATCTGCTATTTCTTTAGGACCAGTGCCTTTAAAAGAAAACGGCTCTCCTCCACTGGCTGGGTAGTGGTGGTGGAGACCATAGAGTTAACAACCCCTTCACATAACCTTCCCTGTTGTTTGTAGTACTACTATTTTGAAATATTTGAGTGATCCTCTCATTTCACAAAGATATTATAAAACAGAATTGGCTCGGCTTCCTCAATTGTATACATGCAAAAAACCAATGTTAGCCACAAACTAATAACCTGAAAGATAGAGACCACCTTCTTATTACCAAAATATCTAGTTTCTGTTTTAGTGATGTGGAGCATTTATAATTCCATCTAAGAACAGGTCTGATATATGAAAAGCAGGGAACTTATTCAATCCTCCCACAGTGCCAGTTCTACCTGTGATCTTCTCACTGCAGATACAACTTCACAGAGTGGTTTCCCCACCAATACAGATGGCTTTTAAACATACTTGAAAGAACCACTTCAGGCCCTGAAAACAAAACTATAAGCTACTGTATTTGTACTGGTTTAAGAACACATTAACATAGCCATTTCCTTATTGCAGCTGAAGATCTCAATCACCATCCATTTTCTGTACAAAAAGAAACAAATCCAAAAATGAACTGGGTGAAAAAGAGTGCCAGAAATATGTTTTGTAGTTGCATCTCTCTTAAAACAGACTGAATTTAAGTGTTTTAGTACTTCTATATTTGGACCACAGTTGCTACCTCGACACTGATAAACCAGCCAAAGGGGATGCAGCAAATAAAATCCACTCACCACCGGTTTGTACCAGATACAAGAAACAAAATGTTAAATGTCAAGGCCCACTTGTTAAATGTCAAGGCCCCATGAATATGCAGAACATTTGAAAAATCACACCTCAAATTTCTATCAATATTTATCAATAGAAATTTCCAAATTTATATACAAAGTGCAGTAAGAATGTGTCTAAACCACTGAACCTGTCAATCTGTTTAACAATGCAGGGAAAGGGTGAACAAGTCACTGCTTTCTGGATTGCTTTGCAGAAGGCTCCCCATCTTCCTTCTTGAGCCATTGGTCCATTAAGCTTTTACTTGTTCTCTTAGGTGGTCCTGCTTGGATGAACTGACTGGACCATCTTGGTAAGCCATCATTATCACCATCATCTTCTTTCTTGGGAGATTTGTTTTTTAACCAGTTCAACATCATTTTGCTGCTTGCACTAACTTTAACATCCTGGAAGACAGAGGAAAAGTATGTGGAAAACAATCACTGTTTGACTACAAATTCCACTGGGAATGGCAGGCTAGTTCAGTGAATCTTCCTCCTATAGTCACGTGGTTTCCTGTAGTACCCCAAGCTTAGATGAAATGAAATATATCTTTACTGATAGAAACAGGCATTGCAGTTTTCAATAACAAGTCACACAAAGTGGAAAGGAAAGCAGCTGGCTTGGTGACCTGTCAAAGGAACAACGCTGAAAATGAATCTCGGTTGAAGGTGGCTGTTACAGTGCTTTGTAATCCTATCTAGGTGTTTGCAATTAATGCAGGAGAGATTGCTGAAACCCGGGAAAAGGCACACATTCTGTTTGATATCAGGGGACTCAGCTGTTGCACAACACAGTGAACATTTTTTGAGTTTGCTGCTTGTTTTCTCATGAATCTACAACATGAACAGTTGCTATTTCATTGATTTCAAGGGCAGTGGCAGTGATACTTTATAGAAGGGTTTAATTTATCAGATGTAATATTACAAAAAATAATATATTATTATTAGAAAAATATTACAAAATCATACCTTCTTAAGATCCAGTTCGATGGGATTAATACATTCAGGCGTATTGTTTCGAGAGTTGTTCACAATGGTTGATACTGGGTGGAAGGCAAGGTTTTCTGTGGGGTGGATGAGTTTAAGTGCTTCTTGTGTGGGTACTTCTGCAAAGTCCAGCCATTTTCTAATAGCTTCATCCCCATCAAGGATAGCTGGCATCCTAAACAAATAAAAATATGAACCAAGATCACCATGATATATATATATATCTCAAAAATATTGACCTACACTAACTGATGCATAGAGCGAAGAATTAGGTGATGGAAAGTGTGAATTGTGAACTGTTATCCCCACTTAGCTCCTATTTATAATGCTCTCTTCAAGAAGGGAAGGGAATCTCCAGGCTGTGGGCATAACTGATGAGCCCAATCTGGCCTTCAAAAAGTCCAGTGCCCTGCCCCTCCCAAAAGCCCACCCATCAGGTTCTGCCTTTTGTTCATCCAGTTCAGACCAGAGTGGGGAGGAAGTCAATCCCCGTTATCTGTGATCCTGGCTACCTCTTTCCCTATGTGCTGTTTGCCTTCTCATTTAAGAAGGATGACCGTGCATGGAGGAAAATCCCCACTGTTATTTTGTAGTTGACAGGGAAGAGCAGTAAGTATTCTCAGAGGTTTTCACGGACGGGATCTGATGGTTGTTGTGGGTTTTTCGGGCTCTTTGGCCGTATTCTGAAGTTTGTTCTTCCTAACATTTCGCCAGTCTCTGTGGCCGGCATCTTCAGAGGACAGGAGTCGGAACTCTGGTCATTTAGTAAGCTTCTCTTTCCTCATATCTCCCTAATACTGAAAAGTGCAAGGCAGGCAGAACTCCCCAGACCCAAACTTTGGATGCAGCAATATTCCTATAGCTGGTGCTTAGTCTGGAACTAGCTGTGCCTATGCTGCATCTTCCCTGAAGAGATAAAGGACAGGGTGGGGAATGGCTCCTGAGATCCAAGGGCTAACTGCTGGAGCACCTCTGTAGTAGGAAGTGGGCAAAATGTTGTTGCTTCTCTTTGTTGTGTACACGGTATATTGGAACAGGTAAAACCACCCTTCCAGGACTTATAGATGAAGCCCAAGGTCAAGACTTGCCGTTTTGCAGGTTGTGGCTGAGTGAGCATGGCTCTACTTCCAGTTCACTTTCATCTACACAGTCAGTGTTGTGACTTGTGATCCTCTGAGTCAACAAATAGTTTTGCTGGGGAAATTGTGACAGGATGAGCAGAGCTGGGGGCCGTGATATCATCCTGTTCACACGGGGTCATAAAGGTGCCATGCAATCTGGCATCCAAACCAAGTTCTTCATCCCTGCTCTACAACAATTTCCTATCAACGTATGCTTCCTTGCCTGTGATGGATGGAGCTTACACCTTTAGCTGCATCTACTGTGATGATGGTGTAGCTGTATAATGCTTCTCCTCCATAAAGGGGTTTCCAGCAATCAAAAATACCAGCCATGGTGAGTAACCTCCTGCTCTCTGACTCTGTATCATCATCCTTCACATCTGGTTTGCTGAACTGCAAAAGGAAAGAACTACATGAGCAAAAAGTACACTTAGCAGGCATACTATCATTTCCAGAAAAAAAGCAAGTACTATTTTCCTGGACAGATGGATCACCCACTAGCATCCATCTTTTTGGGACTGAGCTGTCGTGTTTTCATCCTCATCCTGCCCATCACTACCTCCAGGCTGCAAATGAAGACTTGGTCACTATTTTCCTGGATAGATGGATCACCCACTAACATCCATCTTTTTGGGACTGAGCTGTCGTTTTTTCACCCTTATCCTGCCCATCAGTACCTCCAGGCTGCAAATGAAGACTTGGTCCAAGCCAAGACTGCTCTGGACACATTGGTAGACAGAAAATCAGGAGTCCAGGTCAAGCTAAATGCATGTAATGTTATCCTTGAAAATGTTTACCAGATATATCACAGAGGGCCTCTGAGATCTCCTTAACATCATCTGGTGAGCCAAACTGAAGTAAGCTCTGTACTAATGAGAAACAGTTTGTTGAATGAGACTCAAAGGACCCCAAGAAGCATTTCTTCTTGCTTCCACCACAGTCACACAGTAGCCATTGTAATTACCTTGCAGCAGTGTTCATCCAGATTTACTTAAGTTTTTAGCATTTGCATTCTAATACACTCTAAGCCTATATTAGATTGATCAGTCTAACCTACGAACCAAAGCAAGCTATGGCACTAAAGCAGAGATGGGCAGCATGGCGTCTCTTATGTGGCCCCAGGGCCTGAATGTGGTGCCAAATATTCCTGGGCGCCTCCAACCTTCCCAGTTCTTGGCTTTAGGAATTCAGAAAGCACGGAGGTCAATTCTACCATGTTTTGAAGCTCATGGTTTAATTGGCCACTAGAGGGCGCTGGAGCCTTTTTCAATTAAAAAAATTGTAAGAAAAACTAGGGGGGGGATGGTCATTTGGACTTTTGGAGGTTGTTCCCCCCACCCCCGAAGATCAAGTAGTCGTGTCCGACTCTTCGTGACCCCATGGACCAGAGCACGCCAGGCCCTCCTATCTTCCACTGCCTCCCGGAGTTGGGTCAAATTCATGTTGGTCGCTTCGATGACACTGTCCAACCATCTCATCCTCTGTCGTCCCCTTCTCCTCCTGCCTTCACACTTTCCCAACATCAGGGGCTTTTCCAAGGAGTCTTCTCTTCTCATGAGATGGCCAAAGTACTGGATCCTCAGCTTCAGGCTCCCCTTCATGGATTGCTGCCTTGTCGTGGCGAAGAGGCTTGAGTAACTCAGAGAAGCTATGGGCTATGCCGTGCAGGGACACCCAAGACGGACAGGTCATAGTGCAGAGTTCCAACTAAACGCAATCCATCTGGAGTAGGAAATGGCAATGCCACTCCAGTATCTTTGCCAAGAACGCCCCATGATCAGTCTTAGTAGCATAGAGCATCTTTCACTGTCTGCAACTGCTGTTAGGTGGAGAGAGCCTAGCTACAGTTACCCATGCTCTCATACACTCATGGTTGGCATTCTGCAATGTACTCTACGCCGGGCTCCCTTCCAGGCTGTCTAGAAACTGCCCTTAATACAAATTCCTGCCACTGGGGCTCCAATCAGCACTAGCCATTGGGAACACAGCTCTCCTGCCTAATAGTCTATTTCCAAACACAGCACTATGTGTTAGTGTTTCCCTTGAAAGCCCTCAACTGGTTTTGATTTGGATGCTTGAGAGAATGACAACTCACCTTTGCTAACTTTGGCTCTCTGAGTGGTCATCTATGAATTCTATGAACGAGTTGCCATTTATTTTGTAAGATGGGAGCTTCACCCAGGTGTCTTTCTGCCTCCTCACTTGTAGATAGGGCATTCCTTCTGTCAACATGTTTGCTTCAGGACAAAATATTGCTGCTTTTATAGTAGAGCCAGCATATAGGTCATGACCCTTTAGCCAATGTAATCCTCATCCCTCATTATGCATGTTCTCTTCTCTTCCTTTCCTCCTGAGAGTAATCATTCGCCTAAACCACACCCAGGCACAAGTCATTCTAGTCACTCCCCTGGGGGCCCTAACATCCCTGGTTCCTCATTACCTTCCACTATGATTTCAACTGGATCTTATATCTCGATGTCAAGGGCAGATTCAACACTGCTTCCTCTGCCTGTAAGATCTGACTCAGCTGCTGCTTAGACAAGACATTGCTTCTATTCCACCAGCACACCCAGATCTCTTTCCTGACTCATCACAGACAGCACAGAACCCATTAGCTGGTAATTACAGTTTTGATTTTTTTGTGTTTGCCCCAATGTGCATTACTTCACATTTTTTTACACTGAAACGCATTTGCCATTTTGCCACCCATTCTCCCAGTTTGGAGAGATCTTTCTGGAGCTCTTGACAATCCCTTCTGATCTTTACCACCCAGAAAAGTTTCGTGTCATCTGAAAACTTGGCCAACTCATTGCTTATCCTTGTCTCCAGATTATTTATGAACAGGTTGAAAAGCACCGGTCCCAGAACAGATCCCTGGGGCATATTGCTCTTCACCTCTGTCCATTATCACTCCTAGCACATGCTGCAACAGCAGTGGGAGACAAAAAAAAGACATGTAAAGGCATAGGAGCATGATGCTTGTTCACTTGATTCTGACAAGCCTTCTGTTCATCTTCCTAGCAATAATCTTTGTGCTCTTGATTTTCAAACAAACAGCTGCTGTTCACTCAATATACTAAAAGAACACCGAAAATGCTAGTTGTAACTGTCCTGGACCTAGTAGGCACCGCTGTGTGTTATTTATTTTCCACCACATTAATTAAAGTGTCCATATAATTATATAGTCAAAACTACCTAAGGCAAGATGGACTTTAGTGGAAATGGGTAGAGAAAAAAGTAAAGCCAATGAGAACTTTTGCACTAAATAATGCTATCAACGCAGTACTGTAATGTTATACCATTTCTTCTGGAGGCTGAGGGAAGTAAATGAAATAGGGTTGTTTCTGTCCATTCTGCTGCTGCCATTCGTAGTAGCCATCAGCCAGCACCACACAGCGCTGGCCTTTTAGAAGAGGTCCCTTTGGCGATGGAGAAAGACAAGAGCAAAGGCAGTTTCAGTTCAAGCAAACCAAAGCTTCAGCTACATCCAAAATTGTTCATTGGGGGTTGGGGGGGTAATGGGAGCACATATTATATCCTATGGAATGATTCTGAAAGCCAATCTGAGTTCACATGGAGCTTTGTTAAAAGAGACTTGTGACTTGTTCCTTGCTGCCTTTAGAAGAGGTAGCCCATGAGCCAAATAGCAGAGATGCCTCCCCTGCAAGTAGGGGGCTGAGGTGTCCCCTCTGCTTGGACTATGAACCTGCCCTGCTTTTCATTACAAGAGTAAGCAAGAAATATAATATTAATTACAGCCATATTTCCTGAGACTTTCTTTACAGGAATTAATCTACATTGCTTGTGAAAATGAAATTAATGCAATGCAAATACCAGGACTAGCTTCCTTAGCTCGTCTTTAGGTCAGTGAGGCCTTATCTATGCAAAAACTGGAATTTACCACATTATGGTCTGTGGTGTCCCCATGCATCAAGTAGGGTATTCACCAGTATAAAGATGCTGAAGTCTTTGTGTTATATTGTAACACAACATGTGAATATTGAGGCAAAGCTACCACAGGTTTATGTGGTGCCACTTTCTTACCAGCCTAACAGAAAAGCTTTTTCTGATTTCACAAGTATGTTCTAATACTGCCCCTTCCTATCCCACCCTTCAGCTACCTCTGCCAATGGTGTATGATCACTGGCCATAGTCAAGTGGGGACACTGGAGTCTTAATTGGGTTTTTCTAGAAATATAATTGGTGGGGAAACTTTTTATAAATGAAAAAAAATGCATTCCCATAGCTAACGTTTATCAAAATAAAGACAAAGTAGATTGAGCTACAGAGATAGAATACTATACAGGTAATTGAGAAACATCCAAAAGAGCATCACAAAACTATCACAAGACGTTGTGGGTATGTGCAGCTACAACACAGCTACCACATGTAAGGAAGAAATTGTACCCAAGAAGTGCATCTAGCTCTGCTCTGCTCTTAGTAGTCTAACCTCTGACAGTGGAAATGGAATGGCACAGACAGCCTAATGTTGTCCTTATTTCAGAGCAGAAAATCTGGTAAGAGCTAAGTAAGTTATATTCACAGAGGCCCTAGAGATTCTGCAAGGTCAGTGAAGAAACTGGGCCCCTTGTAAGGAAGCATATCATCAGCCACGATCCATTTGCACTTGGGCACCAGAGGCACCAAGTTGTTCATAATGCAGCTCTTCTATTCCTTTCACTAATGTAGTTCTCAAATGCCAAAAATTAAAGCACAAGTGTGCTTGGGGAAAAGGCTGCACAGAAAATAGCTGGGAAATGCTCAATTCAAGTCTCTTTGCATAAAACCAATTGCCACACATCCCTGATCCGTAGAAAACAAAGACTCAGGTCCACCTCCCTAACACAACAATGAGGGAGACAGGATTGATTGTCATTGTTGGGAGCAAGGAACAGTATTACTGTATGCAAAGAAAGGCACTGTTAAGCATGTTCAGAGTTATGCTTACCCAGGATCTTTTGCAAGTTTTAACTTGTCCCTGATTAGATTTAGGATTTTTGTTAGTTTAGGTGTTCAGAGATAGATATGTGGTATTAAAGTACGTAACATATATATTGGCTAGGAAATATTTGTTTATTTCCCACAACAGCCATGAGAAAGAGAAAAAAGGCTAAGAAACACAAACCAATTATTCCTTGCCCCAGTCTCTGTGCCCTTCCCACCCCTTGCTTAAAGGTCCCATGACAAGATAAAAATATTAAGAAAGGAATAGAAAAGTGGTGATTTCAGGAAAGATACGGAAGCAGGTAGGGCAGGATCTGAATGCAATAGACAGAAACATGAATGAAAGTCTAGAAAACAGGAACACAGGGAACATCCTATAGTCTAGACTGAGCCATGGCTGGAGCCTGAGAAACAGGAGGCAGTGGAATCAAAAGAATGATAGTGAAGAAACTGGATGCTTGGAGAAGTGGAGACCAGGGATACAAAAGCAGAGTAGACCTAAGCAATCCTCCCTCCTCCAAAAGCACTAACTAAGCAGCTGGGTCATCACAAAGACACAAGAGGGCTAATTTTCCGATCTCAAACAAGCAGCTGGGTCATCACAAAGACACAAGAGGGCTAATTTTCCGATCTGATCTTTCCTTCCTAGATTGGGAATAAGTTATTTTCTGATAACTGTTTCTTTTTTCCCTAATGGAACAAGAGTGCATGGAATTTGAGAAAAGGAGAGACACACTCTTTTGCTGTACAAATGGCTAATCCAAATAAATCTCTGAGTGGGGTTTTCATGACTTCTATCTGGGGTATTTTATTTCTAAATGGCTTCCATACAGTCAGTGTTATTTGTGTTCTCTCTAATCTAAACTGCACATAAAGCAAGCAGCAGGTTATCTCAAGGGCAGTGTGTCAAGCATAACATGTGAAATGCTATCACCTGCTGGACTTTTCCCTTTCCCTTACACTTGATACAGCAGGGCAACTGTTGGCAGTACCTCTATGAAGAAGTACCAGGATCTAGTCAGATGTCAGTCTCAGAAGAGGAAAATCAAGAAGCTGGATTCACAGTATGCAGTTCAGAATTATTTACACTTGATACAGCAGGGCGACTGTTGGCAGTACCTCTATGAAGAAGTATCAGGATCTAGTCAGATGTCAGTCTCAGAAGATATAAACAGCATAGTTAGGAGGAGACAAGTACAACATGTTAGTTTTCAAATACTCAAAAACTAACCTTGTAGGAAAGTTTCTCCATCATGGAATCACTCCGACAATTGGAAGTGTTATACTGCATTTTAGAAGGGTCATCTTCCTTGAACCAGGATGGAATCAGCCCCCAACGCATAGCCACAAGGATGCGCTCAGAAGAACTGACATCCTTTTATAAAGCAGAAACAGGAAGAAAGGTTGAGAAGGAACATCCATACATGTATAGAAAGAATGCAAAGTCATCAAAACCTCCATTCCAAATCTAGCAGCATGTTGCCAATAGAACAGGCCCACTAAATCAGTGGAGTTTGGTGAGTCAGCTCTTTTGTAAGTTCCAGTGATTCAATGGGCCTGCTCTAGTTGTGATTTACTACTGGATTTCAGCCATTGTTTGCAAAGCTGTAAGAGTGGTGAAGTGAAAAGCATTCTAAATTTCTGCTTTGTCCTTCATTGTAAAAATGAAAACTCTGGTCAGTTCAGTCACTGAATGATAACAAAATAACATGCCATGTTTATATGATGAGGCAACCAAGTTAATTATGTATTTATGAAAGATCTAGTGCTACTGTGTTTTTTTTTAAGTTACTCTAATTCTGTGTTGAGATGGTTTTGTACTGTATGTAAAGTATGACCACAGATGCTGCAGAAGAAAATGTAAAGTTGAAGAAAATTTGGCACTCATTGTAGCCAGGCAAGCCACATTGCAGAATACCACATGAAAACACATTATTAAATGTATTACTAAATACTGTAGAATAATTGCAGCATTATTCAATACTGTGGCTGAAATCAAACAACAGTTGTATCTTCATTAAAAAAAAAACTCAACAATGTAGCCACCTCTATATTATTCCTTAACTTGCAGCTACTAAGAGAAATAGCTGGCCACGTTTTCAGTTATTCTGTGTGGTCTCAAAAATCCATAAAGATGTGCGCTTGAGCAGACTTCAGACTGGACAAAGCCATGTGCATGTGTACTTACAAGCAATACCTACTGTATTCAATAGAGCCAATGTCCTAGTGTGTTTAGGACTGTAACATAAGGCTACCGTTCTATACACTGGGAATGAGGAACGTGTGGCCCTCCAGATGTTGTTGGATTGCTAACTTCCATTATTCTTCAGTACTGACCATGCTCACTAGGGTTGATGGAAGTTGTAGTCCAAAAATATCTGCAAGGATATACATTCTTCACCGCTGCTATGCACACATAGCTGGAAGTAAGTCCAACTGAACCTGACTAGTAACTTTAGTTTGTGACCTTATTCAGGTTTTCCTGGAAATATGTCCCATTGACATAGTGGGACTTATGTTTAAATAAACATGCATAGAGATTGGATTACATGATTCTGAAATTCGCTGCTTCTAAATGTACCTTCCACTATTGATATGAATCATTTTTTAAGCTTTCTCAGCTGGGACAATTGAAACAAACTAACGGGTTTCACTTCTCCTTTTTGCTAAAATTTTAGTCTGATTAACTTTCACTGCTATCCTATGCGTGACTTTGACAGTGTTTTCACTCAGTTGAAAACAAATGCCAAAATAGCTTTACTATTCTGTAGTTTTACAAGTCTCAGCATTAGAAAATATTATATAAGCTTTTAGTTTCTAATCTCAATATATAATGTACTCTGGACTAATGATAAAAAGCACTGGAACTACTCCATTGAGAGGTGTAGTATGATACTGTACATGATTCATATGCATGATGGAAGGCTTAGGTTGTAGATAAGCACCAGGGGGAGGGGGAGCAGCCACTCATTCCACTTCATTCCTCTTCTTTCTGCCTTGCCCTCCACCTGCCACTGCTGCACAAGTACCTTTTCCCTTCTACAGTGAGAAAACATTTTCTCACTCTGGCCAGTGACCCACATAATAGCATAACAGCTGCCACTTTAGTACCAGGAGTGGCAGATGGAAGAGATAGTAGATAGACACATTTGCCATTTAAATGGTTGGGAAGACAGCATCTCATCCCAGGAAAGGGACAGCCTGCACAGCTGTGTAGCTATTTGTGTCGTTGTATATGCATATGTATGTGCATTAGATGGGGGAGTCCTCCCCTTTATTAACTACTGGACTGTATCTGGGCGGGAAAATAAAAGAGGAAACAGTTTGCAAAATGTCGTGCTTAAAAAAAAGGTTTATGCATGGTCAGTGATTTAAGACTCAAATATTTTTAAATGTCACAGCTTCTTCACTTTTCAACTACAAGTGAACTCATGTCATAACAGGGGTATAGCTTCTGAGGTCCAAGCAACCAGTAGAAGACAGAAGATTCAACAACCTGGAATCTTTAATGTGAATTCATGCATTAAAAACAACAACACAGATTTAGAGAAACCAAACAGAAATAAGGGGAAGATAACCCTAAATAAAGGCTGGTCACATCTGGGCGCCTCATATGTAAAGTAAACATTGCCATTTGTCTTACTGTAAGAGGCAGTGCTTCTTTAGAATTTCTCTCCTTTCTAAACGATCACAAAAAAGTAAAATACAACAGATATCTGCAGTTTTAAAATGCTTATGCTTCACTGACTTCTACACAGCAGAAACCACATTTCCTCTTATTTGTGAATTTTTTTACCTTGGTGTCCAAGCTAAGGTACAAACCCTGAATATAAAAATACCAGAAAACAGATACTGATCCTAGTGAACAACTTTTTGAAAAAATGTATCTAAACTACAAGATTAGGATGCAATTTAGAAGGTTCACCTTCTCAAAGTGCTTTCGAGATAGAAGCACAGGGCTGTTAGACTGTGGACTCTTATTGTAAGATGGGCTATATCTGTCAGCATTTTTCCATTCAGGATGTCTTCTTCTCCCTTCATTATCACGATATACGCAGGCACGGCGGATACGATCAGCTCCCAGAGAAACTGCAGTGCGGCCACACATTTTTCACCAGTAACCTGCAGAAACGCATGCTAATCAGTGTCCTACAAATTTGGTTGGTACTCTGGTTTGAGAAGCAAATACATAGAAAGCATACGTATCTGTTCTTAACCTGAAGGTTTAAAATGATGCACCTTTGCTACACTTCTCAAGAGTATGGCACGTTATGACCAACTTACCTTAAGGTACATATTCCTTTTCCAAAACTACCTGGAGATGAACATAAGACTGAGAAAACAAATACAACGTAAAACCAGTACTTAAATGAACAGCATAAAAGGAGAACAAGGCTGTACAATCAAGACAATTTTTAAACACTTTACAATGAAAACCAGCCAAGTAACAACTGAAACCTTTGCAAACTGGACTGAAAAGGGAGACTGTTCTTAAGCTGAAGCAAAAAAAGGAATCCCTCTTTCAATCCATGGTACTTTGGAAGGAGAAGGCACTTAGAAGAAGGAGTCTGAAGATGACTAACACTTTGGCAGGTTCAGGTAGGAGGAGATGGTCCTGTACAAGTTATTTTCAGATAAGGAAAGATGAGGGAGGGCAGGAATGACAAGATCAGGGCTGTCAGAACACAGAAGCATGAACAGGCCTATGTAGCCCAGCATCTTGTTTCCCCTGGTAGCTGACCAGACACTTCTAGGAAACCTACAATGGCATATGGGGAGTAACAGCATCCTCCCACTGCTGTTTCTCAGCAACTGGGGCATACTGCCTGGATCCTGGAGGTGGTATATAACCATCATGAGAATAAGCCACTCTATTCATCTCTCCGAGTCCCTTTTAAAGTCAGCTACGTTGGTGGCCATCAAAACATTTTGAGGTAGCAAATTTCATAAAACCAACACCTTAAAGAATCTGCTTTAAGAATCTGCTTTAATCCGCCTGCTTCCACCTAGATCTACTCGGATCACCCGCATGAGCCAGGAGGTGAGGCTGAGGAGCCTAACGACGAGGGAGGCCCGGAAAGAAAGGACACGAAACCGGGCCTTCTCGGCGGTGGCTCCTCGCCTCTGGAACAATCTCCCTCCTGAGATCCGCACGGCCCCCACTTTGGACACTTTAAAAAGTCAATTAAAAACATGGCTATACATTCAGGCCTTCCCTCCACTTAATATCTGACTTTTCTTTATTCTCTCCTTACGTATTTTCTATTCTATTGTTGTATTCTGTTTATTACAATATGATTTATGTAATTGTGTGTGTTTTTTATATTATTTCACTGTTTTTACTATATTGGAAGCCGCCTAGAGTGGTCTTTTAGACCAGATGGGCGGGGTATAAATCAAATAAATAAATTAATTAATTAAAAAGCACTAGCAGGCATCCTGACCATAAAATGATTCAACATCTATATCACAGCAATACCTTTATTATTGCCAAGTAAAATGTTTGAAGACACCAAGCCTGCATTTAATGCCAGTCTTAATGTGAAATACAGAAATCTAATTTGAATGTCTGCTACTTCCTCCCAGTTACTATTTTAGAACTATAAGTAAATGAAAACTTTGCGGCCAGCTTGCCTTCTGCTTGCCCTCTGCTTTTATTTACCATCCAACCTGATCAAGAGTCCTGAATATTTGACTGATAATGTAAGTGCATAAAGAAGTACTTCCTCTTGCTTTGTCCTGAATTTCATACCATTTAGTATCAACAGATGACTGTATGTAAGAGGCAGAGAAAAATATTTCGCTTTTGGCTGGGTGGAGAAACAATGGGCTGTTATGAAAGACGTTGCTATGCCTCAGCACTTGATTGTCCTGATGCATAACCAGTAGCGTGGACAGGAAGCTACTGTTAGGACAAAAAAATGGAGAGTCAGAATGGGTCTCTTATAGGCAAAGGTGTCTCTCTAGCTCTTCAGTCTATAACAGAAAATATCATATGGAAAGCTAAACTAGATTCAGATGAAGAACAAGGTGAAAATTAATGGAAGAAATATAAAAATTTTAAGAAATGCAAATGACACCATTTTGCTATCCAAAAGCAGCACTGACTTGAAATGATTTTAATGAAAGTGAAAGAAGAAAGTGCCCATGCAAATGACACCATTTCGCTATCCAAAAGCAGCAGTGACTTGAAATTATTTTAATGAAAGTGAAAGAAGAAAGTGCCAAAGCAGGCCTGCAGTTGAACATTAAGAAGACCAATCATGATTACAGAAGAACTACACAAATTTAATGTTGACAATGAAGAAATTTAAGTTGTTAAAAGTTTCTTATATCTTGGTTCAATCAATAAATCCAAGCAGAAACTGTAGCCAAGAAATCAAAAGAAGAGTGAGATTCAGAAGTGCAGCAATAAAAGAATTAGAAAAAAAACATTAAGTGCAAGAATGTGTCACTGGAGACCAGGACCATGGTCATCCATGCTACTGTATTCATGATCATTATGTACAAGTCAGAAAGCTGGAGAGTTAAGAAAGCTGAAAGGAAAAAAATGATTCATTAAAATGTGGTGAGGGAGGAGAGCTTTGCAGATACCCTGGACGTCTAGGAAGATGAGCAAATGGATCCTAAAGCAAATCAAGCTTTAACTATCTCTGAAAGCAAAAATGGCAAAACTGAGTCTATCCTACTTTGGGCACATATCAGATGGCAAGATGCTCTGGAAAAGACAATAATGTTGGGGAAAATGGAAAGCTGCAGGAAAAGAGGGAGACCAAACCTGAAATAGATTGACTCCCAAAAGAAGTGACAGACTTGAGTTTATAGGAGCTGAGCAGCACTGCTGAGGACACCACATTTTGGAGATGCAAGTCACCATAAGTCAGAGATGACTTGATGGTCACTGTTGAGGACACCACATTTTGGAGATGCAGGTCACCATAAGTCAGAGATGACTTGATGGTACTTAACAGCAATGTTTTTTTTTGCACCATAAGCAGAATTTTATATATCAGTGTCTTTCTGCTCTTATTCACTCATTTTCTAAACTTTAAAGCCTTAAACAACACAATTTTCTTTTGAAAGTGGGTTGCTTCTGCTCTCCCTCCTGATATTTTAATGATATTTCCTGTACATTTTCCATCTCTGTTTACATTTTTTAAGATGCAGCATCCAGAACTGCACATAGTAGTCCAAGTGTGGTCACATCTTTATCAAGACATTATGATATTGCCAGATTTATTTTTTCTTCTTTTCTCCCTCTAAGATTATATTTCCAACAGTTCCTCCACACTGGGCCAGCGTTTTCACCACACTATCTGAGGTGATCTGAGTATCACTTTTTACGATGGTCAACTCACTCCCTATCAATGTGCATATTGTTAGGATTTTTATCACTTTCTACCCCCTTACACTGAACTAGATCTGCCAATTCAATGCTTATTAGCGTCTACCCAGTTTGGAGAGATCCTTAAAGAACTTTTTGCAATTCCCTTTTGCAAAGGAAATACTGTAAGTATATTACGGTCTTATCATACAGTCTGGCAAGGTTCACAGCTCACTCTAGCACTTTCACAGGAATTCTTTTACAAGTACAGTACCGGGTCCCAAAGAAGTCCTGCCACAGAACCGATCAGCTGACACCATTCCCTCTCCCCTGCTCTTGCATTCCATAATGGGATCTCTCTTACAGTCCTACTGTCTGCTTCTTGATCTGGAACCCATTACTGTCTACACAAGAAGCCATGTCTCTTAACACTTACTGTATTTTGCTAAGGACACCTTTGAGACTCTGCAGAAGAATGGTCAAAAGCCGTTTGGGAGTCTGCGTCTGCCTCTATCGCGAGCCTGATCCAGTAGCGGAAATGTTGCTGGTGGAGCCTGAGGGGGAAAAAAACCTATTTTTTTCTCTCTTTCCCCCCCCCCAACACCCCCCCGACACCCGCAGCCTTCTGTGCCGCCGCTCCTCGTTGCAGGAAATGGAGGGAAGGGGAGCGAGGTGGGGGAGAGAGGCGCTTCCTAATGGTGCGAGGGTGACAAAGGGAAAAGAAGACGGGGACCGCCAGGAACATTTGTTGCTTACACAGGAACTCGCCGCCAGAAAGGGAGGCTTTTCTTTCAGGGCCGCCTAGGACGCCCACCTGCACGTCAGAACCTGTCCCCGCTGAGGCCCCCCGGGCTCTTCGTCTCCTGTCGCTTCACCTCCTGTGACAAACCTCCCGCCGCCACCTCCGAGGCTGGCCCGCTCTCACGAGACGGAAAGTGAGCGGCAGAGGAAGGGGAGAAAGGGCCTCCTCCTCCCCAAGAGGGCCCCACGTAGTCGTGTTGGGCCCCGGCCCGCGCTATGGGGGAGGGGGGGCTCCGCGGCCTTCCAGCGGGTATCCCGCGCCTCCCAGGCTGCTGGTTCCTCCCTCTAGTCCTGCTCCGCTCCGGCGCTGACGTCGGCTCGGCCCCGGGCTCTCCTTGCCGCCTTTTCAAAGCGCCGCCTCGGGAAACCTGCTGCTGTGCTCCGCCGACCCAGAGAGGCCCAGCTGTTCCGACCGGGGCGTTGCACAGCTCTTGAGGGTTGAATACAAGGAACTAGTCTTCAAAAGCAGTTCAGTTCACAAGTGCAGGCCCCTCCTTCAGGTTTTCTCCCACAGGCTTCCTTGCAGTAAATCCTATTCAGTGTAATCAGGCCTATGCATACTTGCGATTATTTTTGTTACGTCGGAACGGACTTTCGGCAACCCGAATAGGACTTTCAAGGTAAGAGAAATATCGAAGGAGCGGTTTAATAGTGCCCCCCCATGAGTTTCCATGGTCGAGTGAGAATCCGATTCCAGATCCCCTGGGCTTCCAGTCTTCAACTTTGAACAGACTGGTCTCCTGGGTATTCCAGGGGCCCGGCCAGTCCAGGGTAGAGTCTGCATTTAATAATTGTCATCCTCCTTCCTCCCCCCAATAGGGGTACTGTGTTCTTCGCCCCGGTCATCTGTCCAGATCGGTCCCGGGAGGAGGCATTCTCTGGCCAAAGTCTCCCGAAGGACCTCTGCTGCTGCTCCAGCATCATCAGCCATTTCAGTCTCCCTCTCCTTTCCCTCCCAATCTTCTCTTTTTCCTCCCAAAACTTCCACTCCTTCCTCTCACACTCTCCCCAATAAGAGGGTTTAGGTGTAAGCTCACTTCTTCTCCGGGCCTCTGCCTCTTCTCTTGGGACCCTCAGCTTCTCTACCTTCCCAGTCCACAGGTCCTCTAGCCATGTCCATTCCCAACCATGAGGCAAGCTGTCTTTCCCCCTCTTTATATCCTCTAGCCCCACCTCTACTTCTACCCGGGGCTGTCGTTCTTTTCCCACCAAAATATGTCCGCCTTTTCCAATGGACATTCCTCCCAATTCCCCCTCCACACTCCCCAGGCTTGGCTCAGGTGTTCTGATCTTCCTGGGAAGGGGAAGGGGTGGTGTTTGCACCTCCTTGTCGGCAGAGAGCAGGAGGGACGGTACTACCGTGAGAGGGGCCTTGCTCTCAGCGACAGCCTCACAAATTGTTAAAACCCTAATAAAAGGCAGCTTCATATAATTCTGTTTTAATTAACTTCCTAAAAACTGAGAGGGATGGTGCTTGACAAATCTCTTTAGGAAGCTTATTCCAGATGGAAGGGGCCACAACTGAGAAAACATGGTTACTGGTGTTAGCCCCTCTTCAGGAGGAATGTAACCCCACCAAGATCAGGTAAATACAGTGGTGCCCCACATAGCGACGTTAATCCGTTCCAGGAAAAACGTCGCTATCCGGAAACATCGCTAAACGGAACGGAAAACCCCAAAGGAACGCATTAAACTCTGTTTAATGCGTTCCTATGGGGGGTAAACTCACCGCTAAGCAGGAATCCTCCATAGGGCCGCCTTTTTCGCCGCCTCGGTAAGTGAGGAATTGGCGCGAAAACGCTGCGGGCGGCCATTTTCTTCTTCCGGCGGCCATTTTGGAACTGCCGATCAGCTGTTTCCCAAACGTCGCAATGCGAAGATCGCTTACCGATCATCGCAATGCGATATTTTGCCTATTAAAACATCGCAATGCGATCGTAAAAACGATTGCAAAATCCGCATCACTATGCGGATTCGTTGTTAAATGGTGCGCTGGTTAAGCGAGGCACCACTGTATCTCTATAACAGGTCTGACAATCCCCCGAACAGTAGGATCTCTGTCTTATCTGGATTCAGTTTTAGTTATATTCTATGATGCAGCCTATGATGCAAGATGATCTGAGGGAAGCAGACAAGGGGAGTGTAACTCTGCTGGATCTTTCTGCAGGGTTTGATACGGTTGACCGCTGTGTCCTCCTGATGCAGCTATCAAGTTTAGGATTTAAGAGCTCCATTCCTTGGTGGTTCCAGTCCTTCCTCAAAGACTAATAAATAACAGTCTCAGAACTGCAGAACTGAAAGGGACCCTGTAGATCATTGAGTCCAACCTCCGTCAAAGAAGCACGGCAGGGTGTGAGGGGAAAGACCAAAGACAAGAGGTCTTCCTGGTGGAGCAGTCTCTCCTTAAAAGGGACTCAAACAACCCCATCTCCTACCCCATCCCGAAAGAAAGACCAAGGGATAGACACCCAAGAGCTGGAGCAAGAGAACATGAGGGAAAAAGGTATATCGCGAGCAGTGGAGACCCAAGACTTAGAGAAAGAGTTGAAAGGGTTAAGTGTGGCTATTCCATCTAGGGTCAAAATGGCGGGAAAAGAAGAGAAAGGGCGGGCTCTGGAAGAAGGGGGATTAGGGGAAATACATAAATACAGCCCGGGATAATAGCCCGGGTGGTGGGGAAACGGTCTGGATGCAGGATCCATAGACCGGGAAATGGGAACAGGTTCGCGTACCTAAGGCTGAAGCTGAGAACAGGAGACATAAAGGCTTACCCCAGAGACCATCATATTGGGGTGAGTCTGAGAGAAGGGAATGGAGAAGGAAGCTTAGAGAGGAAAAGGAAGCTATTGCCAGAGAAAACGAGGCACGCCGGGCATGGCATCTTGAAGAGTTAAGGAAGATGGGGTGCTTCCTGGACCTTGGGGTGACTCATCAGGAGAAGGAACCCTGTTATGGGGCTGGATAGGGGATGTAGAGACCCTCCTGCTTTTAAACCAGGATGACCCTGGACTAGAGACAGTTGAAACAGAACGGGTGATTGCTGGACCTTGAAATGTTACTACTGCATTTGAAGCAAACTTATGGTTGCCCTTGTCTGAGCTGTTGCTTGAACAAGAGATACAGAGGAAAGATCATGTTAATGTTAATACCCCGTTGGTTGAATTAATAAACAACACAAATTTGTTTGATTCCAATGAGTCTGGTGATTTATTCAAGAGAGGGGAAGCCCATCTACATGAATCTTCACACAGGGAATTGAACTCCCAACCTTCCAAACACAGTCAGATGCCTAAACCATTGAGCTATCCAGCAGATCTCAGATGGTACTCTTGGGGAAATGGTGTTTACACCTTGGGACCTCCATTATGAGGTCCCTCAGGGATCGTCTGTTTCCCCAAAGCTTTTTGATATTTATATGAAGCCATTGGAAGAAGTCATACAGAGATTTGGAGTTTGCTGTTATCAATAAACAAATGACACACAGCTCAATCTCTCTTCATCTGCAGATTATGCTGTACTGATCATTGGGTGCTATCTAGCATTGATAATGGACTGGTCAATGGCCAATAAACTGAACTAAAACTGACAGTTGTAACATATTATCAGAGATTGTCCCCCCAACCATCACTCCTGACTCAGGACAGAGGCAACGTCTGTCACCCAGATGTAGAATCTCTCCATCTCACGGCTTGGAGGACTCCCCCACTATAAAAGAAGTGCTTGAATGGGCTAGGAAGCCTTCAACCAAACTTCTGTACTCTTATAAATGGTCGGTGTTTGCTAAGTTTGCTGAGACCAGAGGTTTGGTCACTATTCCAGTTTCTGTAAGGACCCTCCTTACTTTCCTTCGTTATTTGTTTGATATGGGTCTAGCACATTCCACACTTAAAGTTTATATGTCGACCATTGTTTCATATCAACCTGTGGGCTCAGATGCTTCCCACTTATTTTCACACCCTACTGTTAAGAGATTCCTATGGTGACTACACAATATTCTTCCTCCCGTGCGGCAACCAATTCCTCAGTGGTCGCTACAGACTGTGTTGAAGGCTCTCACGCGGCCTCCATTTGAGCCTATGGCCTCAACTTCTTTGAAACTTGTTTAAAGGATACAAGTTAGCCACATCGTATGGGCCTCGGAGTTGCAGGGGCTGCAAGAGAAAATAAAACCGCAGTAGGCAGAGTTGCTAAATGATAAACCTGTAATTGTGTCGCTCAGTGTGAGGGCACTGCATAATGGCAGCAATATTACCTAATCAAAAGGTAGAGGCTAGAATTTTTCCCCTTTTGCCAGAAGCAAAAACCAAAACCAAAAACAAAAAAAAACTCATTTATTTCAACAGTGGCAGTTTGCGCTCTGCAATTATTTTACATCACCAGCGAGATTTGGGGCGAGTTTCTAGAAGACACAGCACAATGACTGACCTTGGGTAAATGGCATATGGGTTTTCCTGAATGTGAGATATTCTCAGAGAATGGAAATTTTCCTTTAAGGGGGCAGAGCTCCCAGAATGCCACAGCCAGCATGGCAGTGGCCATGGGATTCAGGGACTTTTCATCCCAATATAACTACTAACACTTCCCGTTTCCAGATATCTCAGTGTCCCAGGGGTGAGCAACGTTCTGATAGGTACAGGCTGCACAAGTTCAGGATCGCAAGCATGAACACAGAGCCGTCTCCCCACCGTTTCCCATGTCGCTCTCCCTTTCCTCCACAGAGGTAGAGAAGTCTCAGTCTCCTCTCTCTAAGAAGTGCAAGCCCACTGAGAAAGTTAGGTTACCTACCTGTAACCATGGTTCTTCTAGTGGTACTCTGTGAATCCACACGTCCTGCCCAACCTCCCCGCTATCTGTCATGACTACTTTTGGCGTTTAATTTTCAGAGCCATTACAGCAGCGGATATTCGGAACTGAGGTCCTGCAGGCAGGCGGAGCACGCGCGACACGGGGAGACGTTTTATTGGTCATTTATTTAAGCTCTAAAATATTCCGAAGAGTCCTGCGCAGGCACAGTTTAATCAATTTGTGTGCATTCACAGAGACCATGAAGAAGAACTGGGATGCTACGGATGTTTTTGAACTGCAGCTTCCATCAACCCTGACATGGCTACTGATCATGGAAAGTGATGATCTGGACGGCACAAGCCCGGAAAAGGCCGATATAGGCAGACTCAATGACTAGATGGAACCCTGCTCAGTGTAAAGCCTCAGCATAATGGGCAAGCTGTTCTTCTTGCCAAAGTCATATGCAGATAGGAAATAAAGCTGTACATCACCCATCTTTTCAAAAGTGTCATGACTGAGCTGCACAGATTACAAAAAGAGTGTCACACGTTCACTTTTGCATGAAAAGTAGCATATCTTTTATACATAAAAGGGACCAGAAGCATAGTTAACTTTTATAAAATCACATATAACTTAATAACAGCAGTGGTTGGCAATTCATGGAATAAAAGTTCAGCCTTATTAAAATAAATTGCATTAGGAAAGATAAAGTAATGTGACTATCAATAATTTATTTGACCATTCCCCTTTCCAGATGCAATGAAATACATACACACACACACACACACATTGGCAAACAGTACCTGGGTAATCTACTGTTTTAAGGCCAACTTTGTGTCTTGGATAAGGTCATGGTAGCTGAAGATACTCTAGAAAGTAACTCTGCTCTAGCCAAACTACACTTTAGTATAGTCCAACAGTTTTGTTTTAGCATTAAAAACTACGTTGGCAAAAGATAATTTGGAATAAGACATGGGGGTGGGATGAGTTACGAGGGGGTGCCGACACGTATTGAGCCTTTCCCAGAAAAAAAATTGAGCTAGGAAGCTATAATTGCAGGGTGCATTGGCCAATTTGTATTCAATGGTGCAAAAATCAACTCAACTACCTATGATTTTAACTTATCTTTCATGTTCAGATCCAAATTGAAGATGGCAGCACCTCCAGAAAAGTTCAGTGTGGAAGAGCATAGGACCATAGTCAAATTCCTGTTTCTCCAAGGGAAAGGTGCAAAGCAGATCCATGATGAAATGTCATAAACTATGGGTGGCAGTGGCCCTTCATATGCAACAGTTAAACGTTGGGTTGTCAATTTTAAAACTGGCCATTTCGGTGTTGAAAGTGAGAAACCCAGTGGAAGGCCTGGTTTTGTCTCTGTGCCTGCAAATGTGAAAGCCATCCATTACATGATCATGAAGGACCACCAAATATCAGCTAAAAGTATTGCTATATATCTGAGAGTATCACGTGAGAGAGTTGGTGCCATTATCCACAACGACTTGGAAATGAGAAAGCTGGCAGCAAAGTAGATCCCCAAACTTTTGACAACTGAACAAAAGAGGAAACGTGTTGAGTCATCGGTGGCTGTTTTGGAACATTTTGCAAGGAATGAATCAATTTCCTGGGCAAACTGGTAACTGGTGATGAGACATGGATCTACTGTTATGATCCTGAGACAAAGAAAAGTCTAAGGAATGGCAGCACAGTGGTTCCCCCACGCCAAAGAAGTTCCAAGTGCAAAGGTCGGTGCAGAAGCAAATGGCAACAGTTTTTTGGGATAAGGAGTTCTGCTGGTGGACTACCTCCAACAGAGTTCAACCAACAATGCAAAATATTACTGTGCTTTATTGATGAAGTTGAAGCAAAACATCAAGGAAAAACACTGAAGAAAGCTCTCCAAAGGTGGTCATCCTGTTGCATGACAATGCCTCGTCTCACACTGCAGGTGAAACAATGGCAAAACTGACATCCTTAGGCTTTCAAGTGATGCCCCAATCCACCCTATTCTTCCGACCTGGCTCCTTCTGACAATTATCTGTTCCCCAAACTCAAAAAACACCTCAAGGGACAACGATTTGGGAGTGTTCTGGAAGCAACTAATGCTGCAAATGAGTGGTTACACCAGCAGTCGGAAGAATTTAATTTGCAGGGACTTAAGAAGCTGCAGGACAGATGTCACAAGTGCACTGGCTTCCTGGGGGAATATGTAGAATAGTGTGGCAGTTACAGCTTCCTAGCTCATTTTTTTTCTGGGTAAGGCTCAATACTTAGCAGCACCCCCTTGTATTAAGCATTTTCCCATTCCTTGTCATCCATTCTGGATTTCCCCCATAAAAGGGTTAAATGCATGTTTGCAAGAGCTCTGGTCCAGCTGACACTAATTTTTTTTCTTTTTTTCTTTTTCTTGCTGTTGGGTCAGCACCTCCAGAAGCAGCTCTTTAATGGCAAAATGCTATGAGGTTTCCTACCCATTTTGTATGTAACTTTGCTTTGTAACTCAAGATAAACTGGCACTGAATACTTGAAAGGAAAGCGTCAGCCAAAGCTGATAGGAAAAATTATATAGGTTGATGAGATCTGCACTTTGTGGCTGTCTTTTCAGCCTAGTGTGATGAAGAGATACCACCACTTGCTTCTTTTTGGATTCTTGAGAAATCCACCTAGCGAAGATTAGTTTCCAGTTGACAGGGTTTTTTTCATTACTGAGACTAGGAAATGCTTTTATTTCTGTAATCCGTTTTTAAAAAACAATCATAAACACATATAGAAATTGCTGTAATTGTAAAGGCTCTCACCAGTCACAGAAAGGATGTGACACAGTATAAACAAATTATTATCCTTGAGGAATGGAGCCCTGCAGTGTCATATGAAAAGGGACAACTGCTGTTTTAAAGCAGTCTGGAGATCTTGAAAAAGCTGGCTATTCAGTATTTCATAAATCCTCTCTTCATGCCATACAAACACCCTCATGGTTTTAAAACCTACCCAACTATTTCGTTTCCTAATTAGAAAAAGAGCTGGTGCCAGTGGTCTAATGCTTCTCTCAATGTCCAGAAGTATGGAAAGAAGTTCCCAACAGCCTCCTTCCACTCTGACGTTTCAAATACCAAGTCTTCAAATGTGTTTAGCCAACAGAAGCCATGACGACATCTACAGGAAGTTCTTCTCCACTCCGTGCTGTCACTTGCATTGTCACAGTGTCTGTCAGGACAAGGCGAGAACGAACCAAGAGATCATGACCACCCCGGAAGACACCTGTAGGAGACACAAGGGGAGCAGTGATACAACCGTCAACATATGCAACTAGCTTGGAATAATTCCATATCTACTTTCCTTCAAAAGAAAGAAACTAAAGTTTTAAAGCCACTTTAAAAAAAGAGAGACTTGATAATAATTTTTATTATCCCATTTAAGAGCACTTATTATATTAACTATCATGGCTTATGGCCATCTAGCATTGATAGTTCAGCTATGCAAGAATCACCTTGTCCTGCTTTACCTCCTTTTCTTCTCCCAAATGAATTTACAACAAATGGTGGACATATAGTAATCATGTACAGAAACATGCAACTTCTGACTCTGCAGAATAACCCAAGATTCCTTACATGGTAGGAAAGATCTGCTGGAATGGTAATTTGCAGAGGCCCGTCAAAGCATCATGAGGCAACAGGGGGACCTGTGACAAACCTAGTCACAATGCCACAAATGGCATTTAATTTGTGCTCATGATACAACCTTGCCTACTGACCACACACACATGCTGGGAGAGCGACTTACTGTTTTCCAGCAAGCTGGTATCACGTAGGTCACTACTGGCTGCACAATTCATTCAGAAAAAGGACACCACCTGGAAAGGCACTGAAATGCCTTGCATTTAGGCCATGCTACTACAGGGATGATTTATCAGCCCATTATTTATTCTTATTATTTGTACATGCATATTCTTCCTTTCCCTCCATGAACTGAAAACAGCATGCACATCTTCAGTATATCCTCACAACAACCTTTTGTGGAAGGATTGAAAGACTGTGATTAGCCCAAGGTGACCCAGTGAGCTTTGCAAGAAAGTGGAGATTTGAACACAGGTCTCCTGAGCCCTACTTCAACACTCTGACCACTACAGCACACTGGCTCTTAGAGTCAAGTGGTATCCATCAGGAACACTGTCAAAACTGGAGCAGCGATATCACCGCAACAACTCACCTGCCAGATATAAGGTATGAGAGTTCTTGTTTTCAGGCACTTTATCTGACCGCTCACAGGGCTGCATCCCTAGGAACTTCACAATGTTGCCTACTGCCTCTGTTTTTAAAACAAGTGACAGTTTTAAAGCATATATTCATATAAATACTGCAATCCCAGATTTAAAATTCCTTCGGCATAAAAATACATGCATTCTATTATAAGACATTAGTTCTCCTAAATATATTTAGAAGAGTCATAAATGTTTTTCTTTCCTTTTATTTTGACAAAGTCTAGAGAAACTGGCTCTCCACTATTGTCCACAGTCAGGACTGTGAAGAACCAAGAATTCTCTGCCCTTACTCTACAATAATCACCACTAATTTTCTGTTCTACCTTTGTTCATGGAATTCAGATTTCTTGTACGCCCTCTGATATACTAATATTGAGAGCCATTCTTTCACTCAAGTTTGATGCTACATAGAACAAATCATTCCAAAATTTCTGATGGGAACACACAAATTGTGTAAAATTATACAATAATTGTTTGTCTCAAAAAACATTTTAATGGGACTGTGGGCAATACTTTTTAGCTAGCAGCATCAAATAGTTGAGGGAGATAATCTAATAATTCAGTTTTTGGAGAAGAAGGCTAATAGTTAAGAGCTAATAGTTTTCCTTACCTTCCAGTGTCTTAACAGTGGACAACGTGAAAGTTTCTTCTTTTTCAAACTCATCACCAACTTCTTCCCAGGCAGCTCCAAAATTTGGTTTCAGAACCTTTTGAATGTGGTCTGCTATGGTTACCTCAATGTCTTCTAGCTAAGGCAGGAAAATGATTGGAAATAATACTGGTTGAACAAACTTCATCTCCGGCTTCCTTAACAACAGTACTACACTAAGTTTAAAACATCTCCCATCTATATCTTGTTCCTCGTTCCAAGCTCTTTTCTCCCACTGCTATAAATTTACTTTATAAAACAATAACACTTTATTTTAATATTAGAGTTCAAAAAAGTATTCATGCATAGTTCAGATTCTTCACTCAGATCAGAACTGCCAAAATTAAAGTCCTTGTGGAAAGTCAACATGAAAGCATCTAACAAAACAAAACAAAAATAGCTTAGCAGTACCATGTTAAGCTAATTGGCCTTCTGAATAGCCTGTTTTTCAAGGCCAGTGCAGTTTAAATAAAAATGTCAATTTACAATTCTGATAACACTCAGCTGAATGATGATTCTCAGATTCAAGAGAGCTGGCTGAGGAATTCTGGGAATTGTAGGCCAACCAAATAACTTTTCCAAACTCTTACTTAGAGAAGGACCATTGCTCAGTGGCAAAGCCAATACTTTGCAACTAAAGGTCCTAGGATAAGTCCCTAATAATTACAGATAAATGGTCAGGTGGTGGGTCTTGGGAATATTTTCTGCTTGAGATCTTGGAGGTACACACTGATCAGAGCAGACTGTACCAAGCGACATGGGACAGGCTGACTAAGTGAAATACAGCTTTGTGTAGCCCTACTTAAAATATTTGAAACCTTGGTGTTACCATATATGTGGGTGTTCCACATGAAAGCCAACACAAAGAATGGCTTTATTTGTATGACATTTTCACAGTTAAAAGGGAATGGGTGCTTAGCTCAAGCCATTGTGCATACTGGTCTCACACTGGAGATGCATGTGCAGGAAGGGCTTGCAAAGCATGGATCTTCCAACACATGGATTTGCACACCACCCTGCTGAGTGTGTACACTTACTATTAAGCGGGGCCAGCCCTGTCACTAGATAGAATAAGGCAAATGCCTCAGGCAGCAGTACAGCTCTCTGTTTCTTCATTTCCCTTTCTTAGGCAACCAGCCTGTCTTGCATCCCATAAAGTGGCCTGCCACCTTCAAATGTAAACAAAAACTGCTTTCCTGTTGCCAGCGTTGAAACTGATGCCATTGCTGCTCTGCTTGGTTTCTTGCAGGAAGAAGGGAGCAGCCATTTTATCTTTTGCCTCAGGCAGCAAACTGTCTTGGGCTAGCCCCAACCTTAAGTGTTCATCAATGTGACACACAGAGAATTGCTCAAAGGTGTTTCTTCCTCATATCTCCCAAATGAACCGTGAATGCTACAGATGCTTCCCTTTCCAAGATGCTGAGATTATCAACAGCATTTATGAGCAACACCAGGAGCAGACATTGATTCTCAACAGAACTCTAAGCCAGGGACTCAGTAGGGATGATGATCAAATAGAGTCAAAATCGATAGCTCAGAGCAGAGTTCAAAGCGCATTAGGTAGTCTGAATGGAGCAGGAGTCCATTACCCACTGTGAAACTGTCAGAGCTGGTGGATGGAAACAGGCCTCTGGTGAGGGAAGCCCAACCTTTGCCCAAAATTATGTGAAGCAGACTTGACTTCAAAATGTTGGGAGGGGAAGAAGAGCTGTCATTGTACACTGGAGTCAAGAAAGAGAGCCCTCTCAAAATATCCCTTCAAGTTTGACACTATGCAGAGTCAGTTCCACAGTGCCCTAAGCTGACAGGAAATCAATGCTCTGACATATGCAAAGTACCTGCCCAAAGCATAAAACCCTTTTCATCAGCATCCACCAAAAAGCATGTCAACTGGAGCATATTATTATGTGTTTTTTCTTCAAACACATTAAAATTGTTGATACTCTATGTTCGCAGTGGTAAGGGAGGGGGGGAATTTTGTTGCTTTAAAAATTCTATCCAAACCATAAGCAAGCAAAACAATTTTGCCAAGTTATTTTCTTCATAAAGCACAGGAATCACATGTGGTATTTAGAGCAAACATCCCTGTGGGAGATGTCATGGCCCTTCTAGCACATGGCTGCCAAAATCTGGCTAGTACCAAGCCAAGTCTCCGCATGAGCTGCTTTGATGGGACTCTCCAGGAGGGCTGACACTTCGCCATCTGGACATGCTGAGACCCAACAGCTTGTTAGTTCAGAATCTTTATCAAATTCATTTTTTGGACCTAGCAAAACAGGGTTTTGTTGGATTGAGCCACGGCACCTTATAAAAGGAGGGAGGTCACAGACTAATGGCCTTGTCTTTTATAGCAGTGGTTCTTAACCTTGGGTTACTCAGGTGTTTTTGGACTAAGGTCACAGACTAATGGCCTTGCCTTTTATAGGATAATAGGCATTAATATCAACTGTGGCACTAAATCAGGTGCTGTCTGCCTAGGTGGTCATGCGAATGGCCAGTAGGTTAACCAAGGCTCCTTTCTTACCACATATTCATCCTCGTAGCCCTCTTCCTCAGCTTCACCAGTGTTTGGGTCACAGTCCTTGACAGTGAACTTCATCATACAGCTGAATGTACAGGCCACTGCAGAGACAGCAAAAACAAGTATAAGCAAGCCATCACGCCACTGTGAAATTTGAAGGTTAAATGTTTACCCCTGCCTATTTTCTTACTGTAATCTGCCTTTCCATTAAGGAATCACCATGACAAACTCTGAAGAGGAGTTCCTGCAAAGTGACCTGTCAGTTTCCACCTAGCCAGGCATGCCAGATCATACAAGCAGTCACTTTCTCCAGCCATATAAGGTTATTTTATAGAAAGCCTGTCCAGAAGGTTTTATTACTACTATGTGTACACCAGGCAGCAGGATCTAATGTTGTGATATGTTAAATCAGTATCTGTTTTGCATCTATGTACAAACAGGCATAGCATCACAAAGAAATGTGGGCAAGGGGCTTATTGAGAAAAGAAGAAATGATTCTGAAAATACAGAAGAAAATTCTACCTGCTGTTGGGTCCTCTTCAGGGAATGCAATCAATGTGTAGCAAGTGCCGGGTTGGTTGTATAGCAATGTTTTGGCTGGTATGCATCCAAGGACCTCATAGCCTTCAGTTGGCTCCATCTGCACTGTGACATTTTCCAGGATCTGATCATTCAGGGTGTTTGTGCAGTCAAACTATGAAGGGGCAATGATGTCAGTTAATCAAGACAGAACCAACAGTACTGACTGTTGCTTTTAACATCTGTGCGGCAAATGGAATCAAACCTTAATTATTATCATGGCACAAAGAGTTATCCCTGACTTACTGTGTTTCCCCGAAAATAAGACAAGGACTTATATTAATTTTTGCTAAAAAACAAAAAACGCATTAGAGCTTATTTTCAGGGGATGTTTTATTTTACAGTCATGTCATATTCTGGCTGCTGCACAATGCTGCACAATGGTGGAGGGCAGGGTTTCACTTAACCGGGGCTTATTTTGGGGGGTAGGTCTTATATCACGAACATCCTGAAAAATCATACTAGGGCTTATTTTCAGGTTAGGTCTTATTTTGGGGGAAACAGGGTAGAATCTCTCCCCTGCCCCACTTGGCACTGTGTCTGTGAACAGATGATTTGTACTTCGCACAAGACTGACCTGGAATATCATGTGGTTGGTGAACGTATGTTTGGTACAATGGACCACATACTCTGTCTCCAACTCTGTAAGTGCCATTGCTTCAGGAGAGGACTTAAATAGTGGACCCAGTCCCTGGAATTCAGGGATAGCGGCCAGTTGCTCTAAAGTGCAAAAAGAAAGAGCGAGAGAGAGAATCAGTTGCCATTCACTGACGGGGCATTATTTCTTCAGTCAAGTGCCTGAAGAGAGAGTAGTCAAGTTAAATAAATCCATTGAAAACATTTGACCAATCCCCTTCCTTTGATTGGAAAGACTGAGGGAATAACACCACATTCTACGGAACCATTTTATGTGTTCCCAAACAAAAGCAAGCACCTACCTTGGAATATTTCTTGCCGAGTTGCTGCCACTTTCTCTGGCTGCTTAACTGCAGAGATAGGAGCATTTTCTGCGGAGGGGCAAGAAGATCACAATACAGGTTTAGTCACCTGAAGGGATTTTGCATGAGGGGCAAGAAGAACACAATACAGATAATAAGCACACACAGGTTTAGTCACCTGAAGGGATTTTGCAGTGATTTAGAAAGCACCCCTTCTCTGTGACAGTGAATGAGAATCTTATTCTTGATGTTGATGTAGAAAAGAGCTGGATAGCTCACTGCGGGCTGGGAACTTGATTTCCCCACAGTGAAAGCCGCACAATCCCAGAGTGTGCCACGGGGAGGAGAGACTGGTATACCAGCTCTAAGTATTCTATATCTAAGGCTGCCTTAAGTCAGAATTGACTAGACATTATGCAATTATTATTATTAGAACAGGGCAGAAGGTGGGGTGAGGAGAAGAGCTAGGTTTGGAACAAACACATTTAGGGCAGCAATGCAAGAGGAAGAGGCCCAAACGCTAACGTGATGGCAGCATAAAGGTGAAAAGAAAATGATTCGGAATTTCTAGGGAGATGAAACATGGCAGATACTGTTCTTCAAAGGGTGGGGGGGGGAAGATCAATGATGGGGCAAATTTCCATTGACCTTCCTACTATACCTGTCCTTTGTTCCATGAGGGGGGCAGTTGCCAAGGGAACAGACTTGAGGTCAAAAGGTTTCTCAGAGGGCTCCAAGGTATATTGATGCAGTGCCCTCTCCAGGCCAGGGATGGAGACTGTCAATCCTGGATAAGAACAGTGACAAAAAAACGAAAAACAAAATCATATTAAGGAGGAAACCAGAGAGCTTATAAATCAGATCACAATTAACTCTCCACATCTGCTCTTCCATATGGCCTGAGGGTGGCATGGGGGGTGGGACTACTTAAGGAGCTAGGCTTTTAGCCAATTTAATCACTCACAGCAGCTTAAGAGGGTTGCAGACTGAGCCACAGCGACTCTCTCTTTCCAGATACAGGGGCACCTGTACATTTGGCAGCAAATCCTGTACCCAAGGAGCACTTGTGTTCAAGAGGACCAGAATTTCCTCAGAAGGCTACATCTGGAATTTTCCTTGGGTGATATACAAACATATGGCACACATCTGCTCCCAGTTTGAGCTCAAAAAGAAAGGGAAGAGATATTTACATTTTTACATAGTTGGCTCAGGCAGTTAATACGTACTACCCTTAAAGCAGAATGGATTTGGAAAATGAGATTAAAGAATTTGCCTATCATGCTAGGTTAATCTATTTCTGCTAATATAGAGAGCCTTTTTTTCCTCCCTAATGCAGGCAATGTTGGCAAAAGAAAGCAGCACTCCACCTGGCATTCTTAATCAATGTTTATTGAAATAATGAATGCTACACTACATGGGGTGTGTGTACCAGGAATCAGGTGGAGAGGGAGAATTAGGGACAGTATATTCCTGTCCCCCCCCCCTTTTTTTTTTTACAAAATTAAAACTAAAATACAAATTCAATAGTGACTACACACAATACCCATTGGACTTTCCCCACCCGTGCCACCATCACTCTTGGGACTAGGTGACCAATATCAGTTTATACCTCTTTCACACCTTACCTCTCCACAAATACATTGATTCTTTTGCTGGCATATAGCCTTTCTCCTTCAAAAAGACATACTCTGAGTATCAATTCCATACATCTTTTAAATTATTAGACTTTACTATTCCTCTTATTTCCATTTCACATGTTAACTTATCATTAATTGCTAAGCTCCACATTTCTTTATACCAATCTTCAAGATTAATCTGTTTGTCGCTTTTCCAAAACTTTACAAATATTAATGTTGCTACTAACAACTAACTCTTTCTGATCTTTTTTCAGATGGTCATTCTTAATTATATTCAGGAGGGCAGTAATTGGCGATATCTGAATATCATATCCAATAATTTTTCTAATTTCCTTAAAGACCAGTGCCCATTCTTTCTTTTTTACTTCACCTGTCCACCACATATGCATATATACCCCTTTTTCCTTTTTGCCTCTCCAGCATTGAGATGGTATGTTTTTATTATATTCAGTCTTACTGGAATAAAATACTATCTCCATGCTACCTTATAACAATTTTCTTTATCCTTATAAACATACTCTTCATTATTCTTTGTGACCATATCTTGTTCCAATCTTCTTTTTTAATCTCTTCCTCAAAGTCTTCCAGCCACTGTTTTTTCATCATCGCATGTTTGAATCAGGAATGTACTAGAATCTTATAAATTACGCTAACTGTTCCCTTTCTTTTGTTTCCTTCTTCTTGATCTTGTCTTTGTTCGATAATCTCCTCAAATTTTGTCAGTTTTCATTACTAACCTTTGTTTCAAACCACACCTTGATGAAAATGGAAATTTAGTACTCTCTGGTCAAGATGCAAATAATGACTGAACTGGAAGTCAAAATCTTACTAGAGATAAGGAAAAAGGGGGAATCATCCGCCCACTGCTTTGAATAGTGATGAGTTCAGAATAACTGCTGGATGGCTCAGTGGTTTAGGTATCTGGCTACAGACCTAGAAGCTGGGAGCTTGATTCCCCACTGGGTCTCCTTGATAGGGGCTAATCTCAATGATCCACAGGGTCCCTTCCAGCTCTGAAGTTCTCAGATTCTCCGATTCTGAGTTCCAGCCACAGTGCTAAGGGAAGGGAAACTATCCAGATTTGATTTACTGTCTAAGATAAACTCAATGATCCACAGGGTCCCTTTCCAGCTCTGAAGTTCTCAGATTCTCCGATTCTGAGTTCCAGCCACAGTGCTAAGGGAAGGGAAACTATCCAGATTTGATTTACTGTCTCTCTATCAATTATCAGAGTTTGGAAAAGTGATTTTTTTTAGAACATAGGAAGTGAACGGCCTTATGCTGAATCTCAAACCCATCTAGTCCAGAGCTTTCAGCACAGATGAGCATCCACTTCCCACTGTTACACACAAGTATTTCCAGCCCTACTTGGAAATCCAAGCATTAAACTTGGGACCACCTGCACACACAAGCATAGGCTCTACCACTGAGTTGAGCCCAAAATTTTCACAGAACACGCTGTTCATCTTAGAAAGCACGTGAGTGGCAGTGAAGGAAAGCATCCCCATGAACACCACCTCCCCAGGATTACCTGTTGGCCAAAGTGAGAGGTGGGCAAGGCGTAGCTCACAGGTGTGAGCCATTTGGGCTCCCCAGTGCTTTTAAAGCTGCACATCTCAGGAGCACAGTCTGTTATTTCAAGATGGGGAAGGATGGAACAGGGAACAGAGGAGGCCGAGTACCCATATGTATTTTTTTAAAATGGCTACACTAAAAATCCCTTGGCCAGCAGGGCCACTAGCATTCTGGGGACTGCAGTCCAAATGACTAACTTTTCTACATGTTGTTTTTCATATGTAGTAATTGTGTGCCATCCAGTCAATTCAGCCTTGTGACAAACCTTTTCAGGATTCTCCAGGTAGAAAGTACTAATAAATGGTTTAGTCCCTCCTTCTGGGGCCATCCTGGGACTATTCAGGTTGCCCAGGGTTGCATAGGCTGGCTCTACTCCCAGAAGGCATAGTGGGGTAGCAAACTACCAACCACTGACTCTGTAGGAAGGTTTACACTGTTGTAAAACCTGCCCCCAGAACTCAGACTACAATAAGCTGCACTGAGAAGCTTCTAGATGTAGCCTTGGTAACCTCACACCACTAAATTGCTTTCTCTTGGTCTATTACCATTCAAAATGTAGCCAGCATTGAGGGCCTTTTGCTTCTGCTCCAAGACGCTCAGGTAGAAGGTGGCCCTGTCTCTCACTTCATTGTCATCATCCATCACACACCTGAAACCAAAATCAGAGTGCTGTGTTCAGTGGAGGCATTCAAATTCACACAGAGTCATCCAGAACCCTGACTCAACCCAGATGGTCAGAAAAGACGGTAGCGTGTGCTGTTACCATGGGACAGGGAAGCATTTGATCAGCAGATAAGATGCTTCTTGTGATTCCTCACCTGAAGAAGTATGCTTATGGGAAAATAAAATCTCATTAGTCGTAAAGATGCTCCAAAGCTTCTGGTTTCTCTTTTTGCTACAGCAGCTACCACCTATCATCTCATGGAACTGGGAATGTCTGCTAAACACAAGTGCTGATAGGTTCCAGGAAGCAACTTCTTACTCAAAGGCTCTGAATAATCCCTTTTGACACTGAGGACTAGCGTTCATTTGCAGCCAGTGATCCTTTTTAAATGCACCACAGGTCGGGGCAATCCCTACTTTGGACCAAGATGTCTGTGCTGACCCAGTTAATCTCCGCATCTGCCAGTGAGAGGCATGTGGACTATATCAGCTTACTTTATCAAGGTACCGGATATCCCTCTCATCATCCCAAATCCTCATTTTTAGCAAACTCCCCAAACGGTTGGCATTTTGGGGTTTGGGATCCAGGTCTCTATCATTACTCTTAAATTTGGGAGGGATGGGGTGGCTGTTGTCTTCTTCCGGTTTTGGCGTTCAGCATTCACTGTCCTTTATCATATCTGGGCAGAGGCAGCAGAAGGGAGATGAAGTCCAAAACATTTGGAGTGCCAACACTTCCCCAGCCTGGGTTTCATCCATCTAGTGCTGTAGATCAGATGCTTCTCGTGAATGATTCTGTGCTAAATCGGTTACCTGAGCATGTTAGAGACTTACTATCATATACACTGTACATTCCTTAACTCTACTTGTTAGTTGGTTTTACTCTACAGTCTTGTTTTTATTTTATTTTTATTGTTTTTATTTTACCTTCTCATTTCAAAAACCTGGCATTTTCCTTTGTCTGAATTTCAGTTTTGGGGATCTGTGGAATGGAACACTGTTATTTCTGTTTTTTAAAAAATGACTTTATATAATTTCTCATACCTGTTGAAAACTAATCCTGCCCTCATATCAACCGATTGAAAACCTGATCTTGAACTCTTGTCTCTTTGCCCATGGGCAAGGATCTAATGACTGCAGCCTCAACAAGAAATGCTGACCACCCAGATAGTTCTCCTATATTAGCAGAAAGCTAGGATTCATAAAACACCAGGTTTTCAAGCTGCTTGCTTGGGGAAGTAATGTGCTTGTTCATATTATATCAGTTTATATCACAGCTAGAAAAAAAATGACATTTTCGGACTACAGTTCCTCGAGTCTAGTCCCTCAGGGTAGGGAATATCTGCTGAATATCACAGGTTTCAGGCAGGCTCAAATTTCAGGCAGTGGTCACACTGCTTGAGGGTATTCTGGGAACTAATATTCCAAAACGCAGTATTTCAGATTCCGACGTAAGCTATTCAGAGCGCTTCAGGAGTAAAGGGTAAACTTGCCCTCTTTGATTCCAGGGCAGTAGATATCCCAACCAAAGCCAACTTCAACTATGCAGCCTGAATTGCATATACAGTATCTTTCTCGAGGCTGTCCCAGCAGCAAAATATGCCATCATTTCCCAAAGCACACTTTTCCTATTTCTGGTACTTTGGTGTGCTTACAATACTAAAAAAGGAACTGGTCCTCAAATATTCATCTTGGAAATCCTGGAATCTGCCTGCGGCGATCACAGAGGCAGCAGAAATTAACAGGCATTAGGTCACATCCTGCCAGGGACATGCAAGGGTTACGTTCTTGCTTTTTAGCACAGGTTAAAGAGAGACAGCCGATCTGCCAGCTGTCGTGAACTCTTCCTCCTGCCATCTATAGCGCAACTGTGAGATGAACAGGAACTTTTACTTTGCCTGCTTCATTTCTATCCCAGGAACTATCCTAGAAGTAGGCCAAGGAAATCATGGTGAAATCTGAAGGTTTGCCTTTCAATGTCTGTCACAGAGCTGAATGTGGCTGTCAGAACAAAGCCATGTAGTGAGGAAGTCCCCTGAAAAGCCAGCAGTGTTAGAAAGAGAGGCTTCCTTTGCTTTGTTTTATCTTCACCGTCTATGAATTATTAGCAAGACAGCAATCGCTTTGTCCTACAAGTGTTCTGCATGCTCTCCTATCTTAGATTCTGACTGATGAAGCTGCTGAGTTGATCAGGCCTCAGGTTAAGATACTGCATGAAAGTCAGGCTCTTTTACCCCATAGCTCACCTCTTCAGCAAAACTAGGATGCTGGGCAGCATCTCTTCATTCTGAGCTCCAAATTTAGCCAGAGCACTCACCGCACCTGAAAACAAATGAGAAAGAACAATCTTCAGGTGGAGAAAACTATCAGAGATTATCCTTAGAACTTAGAAACCAGGCAAAGAATTGACCGAGGGCTAAAGGAATTGGGGTGATCATTCTATGAGTTAATACAATGGAATTCTGTTAAAATGTTTTCATGTTACAGAACCAAGAAACCAGGCAAAGAATTGACCCAGGGCTAAAGGAATTGGGGTGATCATTCTATGAGTTAATACAATGGAATTCTGTTAAAATGTGCAAATCCTCCCCTTTGCAGGCCTGCCTGTCTACCGGAGAGCCAGTGCGATACAGCAACTGGAATGCTGGACTGGGGCAAGTGAAGCAAACTCCCAAGTCCGAAACTGGAACCCAAGTCTGAAGCGGCCAGCTGCCTTGTGCTCAGTTAGACTGTGAGTTAGGAAAGTTCAAAAATGAAAAAAAGACTTAAAGGGGAGGATCTACATTTTTTGCTCCAGGCAAGCCATGGCCAGTCAAGGGTCCATGAGAACAAGCTACATGGTCCAAGGGTCCGAGTCATTCTAAGGGGGGGGGGTCCTCTTTAAAGTGGACGTACCTGCCCGGACTTCTTCATGTTCCAAGACAACTCTGTTGTAAATGAAACGGATGTATTTGGAAGGGTTGTTGGTCTTGGGGCCTTCCTGGCCCAGCAAATGGAGAATACGGGTAGCCAAGACCGTGAATTCGCAGTCCTCAATGAACTCGCATAGATGGGAGAGGCCGGCTTCCTTGCTCTCTGAGTTCTCCTCAATGATGCTGATGATACATTCAACGATGGCCCGCTTGTACTCAAAGCCCCCCTAGGCAGTAATGTGAATGGGTCAGTGAGAAATGCAAAGAGAAGACAGTGGCCCTGTTTTTAATGTGACTTTCTAGCTATATGCGCTCATGTGTCTATACATCTATATCGCTGTGTACACATATGCATCTGAGTATGCACCACTTTCTTTTGATTTAAAACACCTGTTCTAAATATTTCTGTTTTACCTAGTGCAAGTAAAAAGTTACACACTGAGTCTCTGATATAACCATAATTTGGTCATCCCAGGCTCACCATGAATTCTTTCCTGACTTTCTAGGGAAAGCGATCTTTTGTGCACCTTGAGATTCAGAAATATGGCATCTCGCTTAAACTTTGGCCCATGCTTCGAGTTGCAAATCTTTTGAGCTTTTATTCTGATGCCATTAGGTCCACAGTAGGTATAAAAGTGAGTGGGAGGGACTTTGAAACCACTGTCTACTGGAATGAGAATCTCTAGCTAAAGACTAGCTGTTCTGCTCCAACAGATTTTGTGTGGGTAGTAAAATAAATCTGGCCTATATAGGCATACTATCATCCAAATCAGAATGTTTTCATTGGCAGAAAACAATATAATGACTAGGAGAAAAAGATAATTGGAGGTTATATAATATTGCATTTGATCAATCATCATCTCCCAGAAAAAAAATTCTAGAAAAATAATTGATTTGTAGTATCTCTGGTTTCTATCTCTGAATGTCAGTAACATTCATAAAATATTTTCAGAAAGTTTGCTGGGGCCATCAATTGGGTGGGCAAAGGTTCTTCCCGAGGGTCAAAAAAAAAAAAAAAGGACTTTGGGTTGGGGATGGTTCCCTAAATTTCCCTAGCTCATACAGCTACCAGCCCCATAAGCTAAGGTAGTGATGGTGAACTGCTCTATGGCACATGTGCCACAGCTGGCACACAGAGCCCTCTCTGTGGGCACATAAGCCATGGCAATGCTGCTCCCCATGCCGGCCAGGGAGGGGGTGCTACTTGCTGCCGCGTCTCAGCTCGAGCTCACACTGCCACCTTGTCCCTCGCCAGAAGGGAGCCTGCAAGTGGCACTGGAGGTGGTGATCAGGTGGCAGCAGGAGGAGGAGGAAGAGGTGAAGGAGGAGCTGTGCCCAGCTGCCCCTCGGCACACACAGTGGCTGCCCATTGACTGCAGTTCTGGAGCTACAGGAGAGCGAGTGAGCAGGGTGGGGCGCAGCGCTTGAAGCCCGAGCTAGGGCCCTACCTATGTTTAGTGAGGGGGGAGGAAAGGTGACCCTGGCTGCCCTCCGGAGGACACGCCGTGTTCGCACTTTGAAATAAAAAGTTGGTTTTGTGTTGCAGTTTGGGCACTTGGGCTCAAAAAGGTTTGCCATCACTGGGCTAAGGGGACTCTGGGAGCTATTGTCCAAAAAAAAAAAGAACTTTTCCAAACGCTAGTACCCGAGTTCACTTCAGAGACAACAGCAGAGAGAAAATTATACTGAGAAGTATCCAACTAGATTTTTGACTTTTTCATAAGACTACACCTGCCATTTCCCCCTAGCCACAGCTCAGGCAGGCTGGAAGCATCTGGGAATTATAGTCCTGCCTCTGGCACATCTATTCTGCAGACAGTGAGGGCCCAGGATTGCATTGGGCACAGTGGGCCCCTCCAGAGGTTACTGGATGGTCACTCCCGACACTCTTCACCATTGGCCATAGTGGAAGCTGGCTGAAGGGAACATCAGGCCAGCCGCATTTTACCAACCCTTGACTTACAGGAACCCAAAGAGACTCCTGATTTATGGGCCCTGGAGCACACAGTCAGGTAGCATTCCAGCTACAGGCCTAGCAGGCCATGATTGCAAATCCTAGTACTCTGAAAAGAGGGACATTAGGCCCATCCTGTCTGTCTATGGGATCAAGTCTGTGTTGTTAAGGATCACAGAATAAATACGGCTGCAAACCAAGAATCTTGACAACCCCCCAAAGAATGGCGCTTACCTCCTCCCGAAGCATGGTGAAAAGGAAATTCATGAGGACTGTATGCTTGCGGGGATACTTCTGACAGAGGGTGCTGATAGCCTGGACCACCACGACCTAGTAGATACCATAGCAAGCACAATGAATTCTTGGAATTCCATCTCACTGTTGGCCCTCCCAGCCCCCATGCAAAAGCATAAGAAAATGCTGATGTGAACTCTTGCCGTGCCTTGAACTCATCCGAAATTTCAGACATGAAGGTGGAGATCTGTTTCATGAGCCGGTCGATGCTGCTCTCACTGCCAGTTTTCAACAGAGTTGTGATGGCCAGGGTAGCAATGCTGCGGTTGGAGTCTGTCACTAAGTTCTCCAGATCAAGATTACAAGCGGTCACGGCAGAAGGGTGCTTCATTGCAACCTAGCAGAGAGTAACAGAATTCACTTCATGAGGACTGAGATGATCCTGCAAGCCTAGGCATAAAGTAAGAGTCATATTTCTTCTATGCCTGAAAAAATGTACTTCCCCCCCCCACAACCTCCCAGAAGGCAGCAGTCACCATAGCCGGGGGCCATGTTGGCTGGGGGCTCTGCAAATTCTCACTGAAAGTAAGTAACAAATTTAATCTCTGTCTTGAGAGAAAGTTCACAAGGTCAGGTAACGCCCGGTGGGCATTTCTGGCTTAATAAACCACTGTTTATTAATCCCGGGACACATTCCAGGCCTTCCTGTTTCCCACCAGCCCCATGCTGGCTGCATCCTAGCTTTAGCTTTTCAGACCCGATCTCTGTAGAATGGAGTCCCCGGGACATTTGAATTAGGAAACTGTGATTTAATATCAGTTGCCATCAGAAGTAAGTAATGGCTTGATCCTCATTAGTAAACCAACATTAAAACCGCAGTTTCCTACTTTCAGGGTAACAAGGAGCTTTTGTTAGGTTGCAGTGCCGAATCCTGTAGCAAAAGGAGGAATGCTAGAGGCAGGTATAAGCCCTACACTCGTTCCTGGCTCCCTAAGCCATCATTTGTCACCTCTGAAAGGGCCAAATATCAACCCTGTTGAAAGACAGCTACCAGAACCCCAGTGTTAAGACAATATCCTCTCACCTTCATCTACCATGGCTCATGCCGTTGTTACTACTGGGCAGCAAAGGGCAAGAACCCTAAACAAAAGCTAGCCTGTTCAGCAGCTCCCAACATAATCAGCCACCCTCAAAACAATCTATGCCTCTTTCCACATGGAAAGAATGTTTTTCTCTGGGAGAAATCAAAACCAAAAAGATGGGGTACTAATGATAACAACAGTGTGGTGTGTTGTCAATTCTGACTTACAATTACCCTTTCCATGGTTTTCTAGGTAGAGAGTACACAGAAGTGATTGGCCAACCCCTCTGTCTATGAAGCCAGATACCTAATCCACTGAACTATCCAGCCAGCTTAAAAATGGGGTACAAGAATCAAGTTCAGGCACCCCTCACTGCTTAGGAAGATGGTGAGCTTTCGAGGACTGTCTCATTATTATTCTTCATTATTCTATGCCTTCATTCTGTTCACAAGATCAGTGACAGACATAAACTAGGGAAACAGAGCTTGCATGCAATTTGAAAAGATTTCTGAGCAGTTCCTCAGGCTCCTAATTCTGTGGCAGACATTTAACACCTACCGCTGTTTTGCCAGGAGAGTGCTACCGTCCTGGGGCAGGAAAGGTTTCACTTAACTGGGGCTTATTTTGGGGGTTGAGCTTATATTACGAGCTTCCTGAAAAAAAAAATCATACTAAGGCTTTATTTTCAGGGCTTATATTACGAGCTTCCTGAAAAAAAATCATACTAAGGCTTTATTTTCAGGTTAGGTCTTATTTTGAGGGAAACAGGGTACCTGCTTCACCTTGGAAGGCAGGGCTCCAAAGATGGGATTTGGACACTGGGAGGATAAGGTGGGGGTAGGCTTCAGGTTCCTGGTCCTCAGCCACATAGGTCTTTAAAAAGAAGGCACTGCGTTTTGAATTGTGCTCAGAAATAGACAGGTAACCAAGGAAGAGGTTAAAAAGAATGGGTGAGACATTGCTTGGGCACGTCTCACTGGTGGATATTCTCGGTGTGGCAGAGGGGGACTTGCAGGCCAAAGACTAAGACAAAGCCAAGACTAAAACCTAGCCTTCCAAGATCAAGCCCTGTTGGCCATCAACTCACACTAACCCCCAACCACCCGAGCAAGCTAAATCCATCGCAAGTTTCTTCCATTCTTCTTACCTTGTTGAGAGTTCGAACTGCTGCGTATCGAAGGGCAGCTTTGGGGGAACTGCAGAACAGCTGCAGCACTGCAGGGAAACATCAGCTTGGTTAGCAACGCAGGCCAAACTAGCAGAGGACGCAGTGTTTCAAACTCACTGTAATGATGGGAAGGTACTGGAAAAATGAGAGGACAGGTCTGTGTGTTGTTGGGCTGTATCTCTCAACATCACAAGCCACTATAGTCGATGATGATGGATGATGGGAGCTGTAGTCCAGCAACACACAGGTTGAGAGTTCACTTATCCGACTGGGACTCCTTGGTAGGAGCTGGATCCGATGATAAATAGGGTTCCTTCCAGCTCTGCAATTGCAAGATTAATATTTAATCCCTGGCTGGCCACATATTTCATATTCAGCTGCAAAGTACAAGGCAGCATTGATTTTTGTACCTACATTAATTCTTAGAAATATAAAAATGTTTTTAAAAACAGGGTGGAAAACAGGAAGAAATGAAGACGGGAACTGCATGAAGAGAATGGGAAGAATGTTTCTCTCTTTTTTTCCTCTCCCCTGGGTTTTTGCATCTATACTCATTGCTCATAAGGTCTTAAAGCTTCTTTCCCATTTTCCAGTCATTCCTCTTAAAATATCATTCCTTTTCCTTGGGAACTTTAGGCAGGGCATTTATACTGTATATCCCCACTTTTTCCCAAACCCCAAATTTATTCCCCAAACCCAAAATTCCCTCCAGGAACATGTCTGCATGTCACTCCAGCGATATCCCCCTGCAGGCCAAGTCTCCTCTACAATGTCCAGCAAGATTCAAAATGCTCCATGATTCTGCAAAGAGCCCAGCAGGCCAATGCTGGTCACTGACAGCGGACTTTAATTTTGCCATCAGCAAACCAACGTTTATCATGTCAGCCAAGGAGTCCCAATAGTTCAAGGATTTACCGGACACGGCAGGGGCCAGTTCTTTGGCAGAGCAGCCGGGCAAGTTCACAATGGCAGATGCCGCTTCGTAGACCACCATCTCATGCTTGTTCCTTAAGCAGCTCTCAATGAAATCGAACAGCGGGCTCTCGTGGCTAGGATGGTCAAAGAGAAGAAAAGGAGTCACATTCATGCATGGCAGCCGTATAGTTTAGAACAGGGGTCTTCAATGTACGGCCCACGGGCCACATCCAGCCCACCTGGCCTTTTTATATGGCCCATCTGTGCATGTATGCATGTGTGCAGGCAGGAGTGTGTGCATATGTGTGCATTCCTTCTGCCTTTGAAAATATCGCAAATATATTATGTGGCTCTCCGTGTGAAAAGTTTGGAGGGCCCCAATTTAGAACATGGAGCCAACTAGAAGAGGAAACTGAATCCTCCAAACAGTATTTGGAGGCTAGTCAGTTCCGTCAGCAACGTTTCAATGATCTCAGACCAGTTCACACATGTGTCTGCACATTATCACCAAACATAAGTGGCTCCAATGCAGCTTACAGTCATGCAAATAATTTTACTGCTCCTTTCCCTGATGCCTGTTCAATAGTTTCAGTCCCAATCAGCTACTCCATTGATTGTTTTTTTTAAAAACTGTTCTTCTGTACCCTTTCAATTGTGCTATAACAGCCAGTCAACTCTGCCTACACTCCAACATTATTGAGGCAAAACAAAGTTATACAGAGTGGAGAGTCCTCCCATAATGATGTTGTTGTGTAGCCAGATGTGTTTCTAGGAAATGGAAGGCTAATTGTTTTGAAAAACTGGTGCTAAAACATTGCCCACTTGGAACTCTAAAGAGCAAAAAGATGGCCATGAGGAAGGCAAGACTTCCTGGGGCTGTGAATGCACTTTCCAACCCTCTCTAAATCTCATTTTTCTGCACAGAATAATGATAATAAAAAAAGAGAGAAAAAGTAACCGATCCTGTTTCAGAACTTTCTTCCACGAAAGGAAAGTATTCTTACCCATCAGCTTCTTCCAGGAGTTTGCTGGCCACACGGATCATCAGGCAATAGGCAAAGGGTGATTTTAAACCATGGCGCATGAACTTGTTCAGCATCTTGTTAACAGCCAAGCGGTCGTTCTTGCGTATGTGATACAGCAAGCCAAGGGCATGATACTGGAATGGGTTAACAAAGGAAGAAAGAGGGTCAATATTGTATCAACATTTTGTAACCCCACCACTTAATCCAGAGACACAACACTAAATCTGAGCTCTAAGGTAAACCCAAAAAGGGCTTCATGTGGCCTTAAGGTTCTTACTTGGACCATGATATTGTCACTTGACGCTGCTTCCTGAGCCTCATTCACCCAGCGCTTCACTACATCAAAGCTGGTCTTCAGAAGATGCTGTGAAGGAATAAAACCGGCATACTAATCAGGAATGGCTCTTCAGAAGTCCAAGTGGGGTCATTTCAGATAATGAACGGAAAATGCTCAGAAAGTTTTAGAACAGATACTGGCCTCTATGAGGTGCAGCACAAGCAGAGAGAGGCTGATCTGGTTGGCCCCCTCCCTCTTGTCCTGCCACCATCAGGCAAAGACCTTCCCTTTCAGGCAGGCTTTTAAGCAGCAAATGTCTCGGGAATGTTTCGTTTATTAAACATAGAGATTTTTCATTATTTTTTAAATGTTTTAAAATTGTTTTTCATTTTGATTTTAATCTTGATTTATGTTTAATTGTTTTTTACCATAGTATTTTAAAGCTGTTATTTGTTGTATAGTTTTAGCTCTTGTGAGCTACCTTGGGTCCCCTATGGGGGAAAAGCCACATATAAATAAGTAAATCATAAATAAGTCCATTTCCAAAGACACCCTCCTTTCCCCACCTCCAAATCTTGTTTTGTGCTTTTTTCTTTTAAAAAAAGGGGAGGGAGATATTAGGGGTTTTGTGGCAGGGGAGGATAATTAATAGATATGAGCCAACATTTCATCCATGTGTTACTGAACATGTTTCTCTTTCGTAGAGTGTTTTGTAAGCCTAGGAACAGATTGATTTCTAACTACAAATGGCATCATGTTCTTGTGAACAGACCAAGCGCTGTGGGACCCAGTTACACCATAAAAACACCAACACCATTCTACCATTTCTTTCCCTCTTTTCATGACTGGGAACAAGGTTGGAACTCAAGCAAGCAACACCTGATGCCTTAGCCAATGAGACATCCTCTAGCTGTGACTCTGAGTTCCCTTTTTAAAAGTATACACAAAAGAGTGAGGGAAGGAGCCTTCCTCTCCTCACGTGGATCTGTTATTAATGGAAGTGACCCTGCAAGTCCATACACACACCAAAGATGACACGAGGGCAGAACTGGATACACTGGACACCTTATCCACAATCGCCTGCTTCATGTAGCGTTCAATGGCTTGCAGCATGGTAGTCTGCAGGGAAGACCAAAATGAGAGAGGGAGATTACTTGGAAGGAAATTTGGGAGCATGTCTGGGAAGAGCCAAAATGCTTCAATCAAAACCTCAGGCAAGCCAGAAGGTGAGAGGTGGGAGGAAAGGACTTGGAAGGAACAACGAGCAGAAACTTAAAGATGAGGAGACTGAAGGTCAGAGAGGGATCACAGAAATAAAGAGATACAGAAAATGGAAGCAACCAGCACTTACATCTGTAATCTGGCATAGGGCTCGCACCGCAGGGCCTCGATAATTGTCATCTTTCCCAGTCATATCTTTGGTTAAACTGGACAGAAAGACAGAGTAAGTTGTCACCAGGGCATGTCAGGCATGTCCTATCAGTTTTCGCAAACATTAAATCAACAGGAGCAAGGCTCTTAAAAGTGGTGAGCAACCTAATCCTTTTCTTTGCACTGAGAAAAAGAAAATAATATTGCCTTCCCCAGGAATTTCAGTGTGTCTGTTTGCGCATGCATGCACATATACTAACACAGATCCTGGAGAAGTAGGCAGCCCTCTTCAGAACTTTGCAACCAATACGCAGAGCCTAGAAAAGTTACTGTTTTGGGCTATAAACACCACTTATGCTATGCTAACTAAGAGTCATAATCCAGAAAAGCAAAATTCTCAAGCTCTAGAACACGGCCATATTCAGGCCAAGGATAACTACATCAAATGAACTTGACCACTGCAGTTTGCTCAGAATGTTGCTCATTTTTATTTCTGACATGAATTTTCTGGGACCTGCACATTGCCTCATATAGTTGAGAGAAAAGGAGATAATAAAAATCTGGATGTGGGAAAACATTGGCCTATTTGTCTCTATGAACCTGGGTGGGTCTCAGTTGAAGAAACCTATGCTCTCTGAAAAAAGGGCCACCACATGAAAAACCACAGGAATCACCTGCTAGTCACAATGATGACATCCTCTGAGATGCTGGACATCTCTTTGATCGTCAGGTAACACATTCTGCGGAGAATTGGCTGAAGAGTAATGGAGATACAATGAACAATGCATTGGGACTCACAAATATTGTTGTTACTGATGAAAAGTAAAGCTTCCTCCTGCACAAGACAGTTTAGCAGGGTACTAAATAAAACATCTTGGTCATCCCGTTGCAATTGAAACTGAGAACCAGCATAGGAAACAAACTCTGTGTCAGCAGACCAGAGAAGAAGTAGACAAGGATTGAATGCGACCATGCGTTGTAACTTCAGGCCATCCTTGGAGCATGGCACGGCATGCGGCTTCTCATCCCCTAGTCCTTGTCCAAGTATCCCTCTGTCAAGGAGCTTGGAGAAGTTATATTTTGGACTACACCTCCTGGATAATCCCAGCTACTATGCACAGTGAGCATGCTGGGCAATTCTAGAAGTTGTAATCCCAAAAAGTAACTTTTCCAAACTTTGTGGTCAACCCGACCTGTCGTGTAACACATTTCCAGTTCCCTATGCAAACCCACAGTGCACATGCAGAGAACTTACGTCATTGGACTGGAACAGCTTGGTCATTGCAAAGAAGGATTCTGTGGCTTCCATCACACCAAGGTGCTCTCCCTGCAGATGGGGGGGGGGAAGTCCAGGCATTTAGATGTAGGTGGCATGGATTTGATTTAAATCAAGTCAATTTAAATCATGCTTTAAATCATAATTTCAATCACTAGTCAGTAAGGCTCAATTTAAGTCATGATTTTTAAATGTAAAGACTCATTCTTGCTAGTAGTTATAATCTTTAATATTTGCAACCAGATGAAGATTTCATATTTAGAATAAAAACCTGTCAAATTAGGAAAACAGCTATATCAGAATTGACTTTAGTTTAATACATTAAGCACTCATATTCAAAGAACTACTTAAATTGTTTTATTTAACTAAAAGAATATTATATAACATACACGTTCTTATATTTGCGTAAACATCAATGCATTCATTGCTTGTACATAGATTTGCAGAATGAGATTAAGGTCTTTTGTTCAACTCTGTTCAATTTATACCATTTTTATTGTGAAAAACGCATGTTATCTCAGTTTGGATTACTTGAATTAATTGAATTAGTTTACCAAAAATGTAAATATTGAATGAATTTACAGCTTCCTGCTATATAACTAAGCAATGCTGGATAACCTTTCAACTATAATGTAACTTAAGCATTTCATTAAAATAAATTTGATTTAAATAAAAAAAATCCAACATTTGATTTTTTAAAAAGAAAATCATCAATTTTAACATTTTATTTAAATAAAAAAAAATCCAACATTTGATTTTTTTAAAAAGAAAATCATCAATTTTAATTCACCCTGGATGTTGGACACATCATGTTTAGCATTGCCAAAGAAAGGGCATCAGCTAAGGTCAACAATTATCACAAGCAACCAATGTGAATGTGTCAATGTCCACAAGTGAACCACTTTGGGCTTAACCTCTGTAACAGAACCATTGTAAAGGTAAACACAAACAATCATTCTTCCTGTTACCTGGTTTATGAGGTACAAAATCTTGGTAAGGATATGAGCACATTTCCGAGGGTTTATGGGTGTCTCGTTGAATACTCGTGCCTAGAAGCAGAGAATAACACTTCAGGACTGTATCCAAACCTTTCCTTAGGATAAAAGAATATGACTGCTACTGGTAAGGAACTTACTTCCTGCAGCACTGCACTTTTCTCCAAGTTCTGGAATGGATTGGAACCTCCACCTGAGAGATAAAATCAATGAGTTTCAAATCTGCTTTAAATCAGTCTACTTATTCAACTTCTGAATAAAAGACGTTAGATACAGCTAAAAGCGGAGCAATCAAACAGATTAAATGTAGTTATATCACACAATTATTACAGTCCCCTGTTCATGGCCCAGTGAACTAAAATGTCTGCAGAAGGCATTTGTTGATAGCCAAATGGCACTTCAATCAATCAGGTTGGTTCAGCCAAATAAAAAACCAAAAATTCAACAAACCTCATGTTCACTGAGGACTATTCAGGCAGCAATGTGATTCCTCATATGTAAGAGCTATATTATTACAAGATTCTCAAATACCACATGTTGTGATAGAAATAGTATGTGCCATCAAGTTGCTTCCAAGTTATGGTGGTCCTAAGGATTTATTATCTGCAAAAGGTTCTTCCATCAACAGCCCCAATTCCTCAGATTTGAAGATCAATATTTCTATTCTTTTTCCTGGTCACAAATATATGGTTGTAAAAGCTAGACAATGAAGAAATGTGACAGGAAAAAGACTGATTCATTTGAACAGCTGTATTACAGGACTGTTTCATGGATACCATGGACCAACAGAAAGACGAAAAAGGGGGGCCTGAACTCTCACTGGGAACTAACATGACTAAACTGCACCTATCATAAGACAGGATTCAGTGGAAGAGGCAATAATGCTAGGAAAAATGGAAGATCTAAAGTAAGATGGATTGTCTCTACAAAGGAAGCCACAACTTTTAATGTGCAAGATCTGAGCAGGGTTGTTGTGGAGATCACAAATTCATAAGGTCACCTTTAATCAGAAACAATCTGACTACACATAACAATATCAGCAACAATTTCTGTTCCTTGAATCCTCAAAGCAGAATTTCTAATGAGTACTTGTGACTTTCCTATTCTAGAAAAACATGCACCTCTGCATGTCAACCAACATATTTAAGATGACAGTTGTAAATATTTAATCTTTGGATTCTTATAATTCACTATATATATGTAAGAAATGTTTTGATACCAGCAACAAAATTTGCTTAGCTACCTGGACAACCAGGAGACTAATGATGCTGTTCTGAATGCTCTTGCAGACTGAAAGACTCATCGTGGAAGACAGCACTAGCCATTTTTCCATATACTACATACAAGAATATGGCTGCCCTTATTGGTACAGTCATCTGAAGCATCCATCTGTCCCAGTGGTTCCCACCCTTGGCTAACTGAGGTGTGTTTGGACTGCAATTCCCAGAAACCCTGACGAGCACAGCTGGCGTTGAAGGCTTCTGGGAACTGCAGTCCAAGAACACCTGGGTTGCCCAAGGTTGGGAACCACTGATCTATCCAAACTCATTATCTACTTGTGCGGCTACGGCAATGCCGCATCATCAGTAATCCTCATTCCAAGGAGTTATGGTAGAAGACTGAAGACATGTTCGTTAATGAAAGTCACATTGTATCATAACCTAAAGAGAGACAGAAAACTGCAGTGCCTGTTGTACACAGGGAGGGCAAGATATCCAAACTCAACAGCACTTTTAAACCCGTCAGATGCAAGTCTATTTATTTGTTTGTAGAATATCTAATTTTGTACCTGGGACTGTAAAATTCAAAGTATATAAAGACACCTAACAATGGCTTATGTAATTTAAGAAGCAAAACAGAAAAGGGTTAAGAAAGGGAGAAGTCTGGATATGTGGGAGAACGACTGAGACCCCCCACCAAGACAAAAATAAATAAATAAAATAGTGGGGGAAACAAGCTGTAATGTAGATGGGACATCTATCTACAAGCCAGGATGGAGCATGGCAAAATATAAATGTAATCCATAACGGGGGGGAGGGGACTTATCTATAGGCTAGCATTTCCCTGCATAAACTAGAAAAGCTCGTCCCATCCAAAGCACAGCTGACAAGGCTGATTGCTGAGATGGGCCACCCCCACCCGCTCCTTGTGCTAAAACAAGGGTCGGATGGGTTGGGGGGGGGAGAGGATCACACGGCTGTTCCGTGACTGGCGCTTTGCCGCACTCACCCGATTCCTCATCCTTCTTATCAAACTTCTTCAGCATCCCTGAAGCCTCTGTCGCGTGTGGGGGCGGAGGCGGAGGAGGAAGCGGGGACGAGGGTCTTGTGCTGACGGAAGGCTACTGTACTTAGCCCGGGGCGAAGGGAAAAGCAAGGATCCCCCGGGGGCAGAAAGAAAAGAGGGCGACGTCGCAGACGACGGCCAAGACCGGCTCCCCTCCGGCACGGGATTCCGGCCACTCGACTTCCTGCTCCAGCGCCACTTCCTGCCAACATGACAGTCCTGAGAAAGCGCCGCCGACCAGCGGCACGCAGGCGCACTCCCGCGGCAGGAAGCTCAGGAAGGGCTGACGTGGCTGCCAGGAGGAGGGAGGAGCTAAGGGCGAAAGGGAGGGTTAGTCAGGAGAGGCAGGGGCGTCTGGGTGGGAGCGGGAAGGAGGGTGAGGGGGGGTTATGCTTCCCTCGTATGAACGAACGGCGGTTTCTAACTAATTACTCTCCATAAAGGAATGCCGTTTCCGCCGTGTGTGTGTTTGGGGGGGGGGGCTTTTCTTTTTAATTGGGACTGGACGTCCTGTCCTCGTTACCCGCATTGGAATTAGTTCCCTGTCAAGACCTCAAATGAAGACAAATGTTTCCAGCTAAATATTAGCTTGCCAACGTTTGTTTGTTTGTTTGTTTGTTTGTTTTTGTGGTAAAATTTCAGCCCTTTGGAAAGCTGCCCAAGAGGCACAACATTTTGGCAGTCGAAGGTTTTCCTCCCATTGCTGCCTGTGTGCCGTGGGAAAGCTACACCTGATGTACATAGGTCTCGAAACGGCCGACAAGACTGAGCTTGGCGGTCTGCAAGGGTGGCACCCTATAAACTGCACAACATGTAAGAGGCCCCAGGGCATAAGCCCTTCGGCAAAGTATTCTAACAATTTAGAAGCCACTCCAAATCTGAGGCAGGTCCTAAATTGTAATTTAGCTATTGTGATTGCTGTATAAATCCAGACCGAAGAGGAAGGGTGGGGCAAACAGCACCCCTATTCACCTGCCTTCACGTCATCTGTGACCCTTTCTGCAGCAGTTTAGTACCAACATCACTGTCACTGCCCTGAGCCTTGGAAGAAACTGACAGTATTAATCAGTTTTTTAAAAAGTGCTACAGCCTTTGTCAAGCAGTAGCAAATTGTCAATGGATAAATATTTCCTAACCCATTCCAGTTGTCTCCATTTCTTCCAACTCATTTAGCAAGGTTATCAAGTTGTACGCTGCATTCCTGCCATCATTATAGTATATGGAGTAATGGCATGCTAACGGAAACTTCCTGTTGTAGATTTATTTCCAATACCAAGTAAGGACGCAAGAAGCCCATTCAAAATGGTCTGTACTCTCCTTGATACTCTGAATAAACACAAAGAAAGATGTACCTACTGTAGCCAAAGTCATCCTCAAAGAACATGTTGAGATCTGTAGAGAGCTCCAGCCCCAGCGTAAGGAGGACCTTCTGACTTGTCCTTTGCACCAACAGCACAAGCAGCCAGTGAACTTTGCACCAAGCTACCAGCCACTGATATCTCAAAATACTTACAAAGAGCACAAGAGTCAGTAATACAGTACAGTATAAGGTGACATTTCAGACATGCTTCCTGATAGCTTTGCAATCCATTAAAAGGCATTTTTGTCAAAGATACAGCCTTAGCTCCTTAACCAGATACTGTAGTACTCGGAGACAAAAAAATGGAACTCTTTGTATGTGGGATTGGGTTATGTTATATCTAATTTTTAAGGTGGTCTGTTTTGCAGATTTCCCCCCTTAATTTCCCAAATGTAATAAAGGTAGATAGGGGACTATGGTTCAAGTTGATTTTCTAGTAGGTATCCTTCAGTCTCGAGAGACTATGGTAACGTCCTCTGAATGAGAACTTGGCTGAGGAGGTCAATTCGAGAGTGGCAATTCCTTCCACACTGAGGACAAATACCGCCTGCCTCCAAGCCGAACGCTCAGATGTCAAGGTTTCCCATCTGTTGAGGTCCATTCTTAAGGCCTTCAAATCTCGCTTGCAGATATCCTTGTATCGCAGCTGGGGCCTCCCTCCGGGGCGCTTTCCCTGCACTAATTCTCCATACAGGAGATCTTTTGGAATCCAACCATCAGCCATTCTCATGACATGCCTGAGCCAGTGTAGATGGTGCTGTTTGAGTAATGTATACATGCTAAAAATTCTAGCTCGTTCTAGGACTACTCTATTTGGAACTTTGTCCTGCCAGGTGATATCAAAAATGCGCCAGAGACAACGCATATGGAACGTGTTCATCTTCCTCTCCTGCCATGCACAAAAGATCTAAGACTCACTTCTGTACAGGAATGTACTCAGGACACAAGCTCTATAGACCTGTGTTGATTACATGCAGGTCAAAAAACAACATGAATTCCACCAGAGTGTCTAACTAAACACTATGCCCAGCATTAAATATTAAAATATTAAATTAAATATTAATCAAGATTAAAACCAAGGTTATAAATTATTCTTATGAATGGCTTTTACAATCCAGAGAAGCTGAAAGCTTTAAGGTGATTTTGGAGACTATGTATTTTATATATCATACTCTCGCACTATTAAAGAGCGGGCCGGGTAGGTGGGGCTCATCAGCCATGGAAGGCAGCCCATCTAGGAGAAGGAAAACTCCAATTTCAAACCTCCACTGCCTTGTGGCTATATCCCCTCATGGAAAAGGCTTCAGGAGTTAACCTCGAGGCAAAATCCGGAGCTGGAGTCCCAAAGGCAGCATGTGTCGTTCTGTCAACTCCTGCGACATTGCTGGAACCAGTTGTATTGGCTCTTGCCTTTCCATTGGACCATTTCAGCAATGTGGAGAGGGGGGATCTGCTGCTCGGGTAACAGCCTATCCTCCATATTACCTTACCCGGGCTTCATGCTCTGGAGAGGACACTCCTCGATTCAGAGCATGTTACCATAGTCTCTCGAGACTGAAGGATGCCTATGCTGATATTTTATGCTATATAATATTATGATAAGTCTACACATAGGTGAATACAGCACAATTAAAGAGGAAACCAGTGTTGAGAGTTGCCATTAGTCCACCTTTTAATTTGTTTAACTCTTAAGGAGACTTAACATGATGTTCTTCTATATCTCCACCTGTTTTTTTTTAAAAGGTCTTACTAGGAAAAATTCATTGAGAAACAGAATAGCTGCATAGTTCCTATTCATCAGAAGGCTACTGTAGATTAAAATTGTGCCTTCATATGCCACCTAAAACTGAATTACAAATGTGACTTAAGGATTTCATGAAGAATCTTTTTGTCCCCCACAATTCAAGCAAATCATTCTCCTTACAGAATACTCGTATGTATTTGACAGCCAGCTCTACTAGAATTCTAAGATAAGAGCTAAGTCTGTGCAATAACAGGCTCTTTTAGAAAGTCAAAGGAAGCTGATGGAAATCTAAATGGTCAGGATTTATACATATTTTTCACAAGTGTGGCATTTTAAAAACTGAGGTGAAACTAAGCAGCTGTTCTTTGCTCAGGCCAGTCAGTTCTGATTTAGAATGGCATCAAAGCGCATCTCTGTCTTTCTCACACTAGACCTCAAAGAGCAAGATTCAGTCAACAGCTCATTGCTGCAACTGGGGAGAGGGACAGCTTGTTTTACTGCTCCTTAGAGGTGGTTTGATTGTTTCTCTACCACAGCAATCCCCATCCTTGGGTCTCCAGGGGCTCTTAGACAAAAACCCCAGAAATCCTGGCCAGCAAAACCAGAGCTGAAGATTTGCACGTGGCCCACTTTGTTTACTCTGGCTTTAGATAATATGAGAACAAGGAAAAGAACAGATTGGGGATGAAGTGATGCCCTTTCCCAATCTATCTCAAGAAACTTAGAAAGAGTTTTGATGTCACATGGGCTTTTTGGTAGGAGAGAAGATCTATTTTGAGTTTTAACAAAACAATGAAAACACCTTTTTGAACGAGGTACCACAAACTTTTATTTCTTTACCATAGTCGGATTTCTGCACCATACACCATAATCAGAGGCATCTTACAAAGAGAAGAAACAACTGTATTTCCACAGTTATATTTACATTTACGGTCCCGAGAATTAAACAGTGATGACAGTAAGCATATCTGTGGGATGTGCATGTGCACACCATGCAAGTAGATCTCCACACACGTGCACTAAGGGATGAATCATGATGCAATCTGGCCAAGAGCCCTTACTCTCTGAGCAGCTACGCGGAGGACAAACGAACAAGGACTTTGCTAAGTTCCTCCTTGTAGTGTATGCACAATGGCCTGGATACAGTCAGGACATGCAGGACACAACTGCGAGTGACTGAGTGGTGTGATTCATGTACAGCATCTATGAAAGTTTAAGCTGCAAAAATGTATTGGTTTAAGGTACCATGGGATTTCTTGCTGTCGCAACAGATGGAACATGGTAACTCTTTAGGAATCTACAAGATGCTGGAAACACAAAGGACTACTGTATTGTGTGACAACAGAATAGACGTACTCCTTGCAAACAGGTTCAAACCATCCTCTCAAAATTATCTTAAAGTGGTCTAATTCATTTATAAGAGAAAGCAAGGGACACTACCTAGAACACAGCTGGTTTATTATTAGTTACAACACACACAGATGTCTCCAAAGGTCTCTTGTGCCACCAAGACATTAGTACAAGAGGACCCCTATATCCACAGGATCAGTATCCACGGTTTCACTTATCTACAGTCTGAAAATATTAAAAGAACCTCCTACCCACAATTTTCACATGTAGAACAGGCCACTAGGTGGAGCAAGAGACCATGCTATGAATACCACTTGTTAGCGAAGAATACACAGCATGGTCTCTGGTGCTTCAAAATTAACACCTCTGTATGATTCAGTAGTCAAAGCTGCCTGCAGGCTCCAGATCTGAATTATTGCAAAGATCACTTTTTTTTTTGGTTTAAGCTAGCTGTGCCAGAGATGTTGTGCTTCTTTCAACTGTGGAGATCATATTACATCGTATTACTTTTGACCGTAATTTGTATTAGCACCACCAAAGTAATATACATATATATGCAATACAAAAGACAGGGAATGGGCTGGGATTATAGTCAGAACCCTTTTATATTATAGCATCCTCCCATACTTAGCTAGCTGTGTTTCATATTCATATCCATACTGCATGTTCTGCAAACCCCTAAAGAGAATTCAGCAAAATTAGTCTTAACTGATCAAATGTCACTGTTTAAAAATACTACTGTTTGTCTCCTGTTGTGAATTAGTCAGAGGTACTGCAGAAATTCAATAGGAATTTAAGATCAACGTCCATCAATTAGGCATGAATAAGACTAAGAAAAGAAAATTAAGACTGTTTAGTAAACAATCCATAGCCCATTTGCTCATGAGATTTGTCTCATGGCTCATGGCTTGCAAACTGCAGCTTGCCCATTTGTGGGAGCACCACATGGTAACTAGAACTGCACCAGATACTACTCATACCTTTCCTCATTGAGGCTTCTATATGTCCATAGCAGTGCATGTCCCTACCTATTTTCTACAGAGATCTAATAACACTAGCTGTTAGATGGGAACTGAGTCCATGGAGAAGACCAAAGGATGTCTGAGAAAAAAAATAGATGGATATTGGGAGGAGAAGGATTGAGAAAGACAATGGAAAACTTAAGAGCTCCAAAAGGGCAGAAATAGAAGAAAAGGATCATGCAAAGCTTTTTAAAATGGCCTGTAATGGTAGCGATAAAACAACAGCATAGCACCATTCTCAGCATTTCACTGACTGTTTTCATACTACAATTCAGCAGGTTTAAAGAGGCAATTGCAAGTGAGTGCTTCACACAGAATCCATTCCCAGCAAATAAATGTGCTCTGCTTTTTTTTTCTTTTTTTTAGTATCATCTTCCAAGACACAATGGAAGATTATTGGAGGGTATCCCTTCCTATTCAGGATTAAGGTGAAACTTCTTCAAATGAATTCATGTTTTGAGGAGTAATACCAAAGTAAGAGGAGAAAAGAGCTAATTGCTCTTTCACTGCTGAATGTCACCCTTGCCCTCTTGTGGTGGCAAACACACACAGAGACGCTAACACCCTTTTAGAAGGATGTGTCGCCCAGCTTTCAGAACTCTTTACCAATGTCATTTAGCCCATGCTCTCAGCTAAACACGAGATAAAAGGCCAGGCCTTTTTGAAGATCCGTTAGTGGTCAAAGAACAAGAAGCGCGAAGTAAAAAGCAATGAACAGTGTTCACTATAGAGGGAAATTAAACAGTGGAAGGAATATATTCAGACTGCCTGGTTCCATTTTATATATTCATAAATGACTTGGAGTTAAAAGTGAGCAGTGAGGTAGTCAGGTTTGCAGAGTGACATCAAATCAGTGAAGATGGGGGAAAACCCCAGCAGCCTCGGAACAACTCCAGAGGAAACCCTTAAAACGGAAAGACTGGACAACACAACAGAAGATTAGATTCCATGAAAATAAATTATGAAAGAATGCCATCTGGGACAGAATATATCAAGGGCTGACTCACAATGCTAGGCAGCAGTTTGAGGTGGAGTGGCAAATACTGCCCCTCCATCTTAAAGTCACAGTACAGAAGCACCCAAAGCCAGAAAAGTTATTTTAGTGCTGGAGGCAGAAATCTCACAGGCACCTTGTTCACACCTCTATTTTGCACAATATAATATAAGGAATTCACAGACTTGGATATTGTGGTAACTGCTAGTTTTTATTAAGGGGGTAGACAAATGGCCAGAGGATATATCTACCAGTGGCTATTAGGCAAGATTATAAGAACCCCCAGTTTACTGGGACCAAATAATCAATTTGCTATGACACAAAATTCAATTTTTTCCAAGTGCCTGCTTTCATAGAGATCTGAATATCATATGATTTTTTGAAGGACTGAATAGAGTCAGTCTTGCCAGTGTTGCTAAGATACTGTCCTGTGCAGAATTGTGACATAAAGCAAATCAGGGAGTAAACCAATATGCCTTGGGTCTAGAGTTGAAAAATAAAACGAGGCAGACCTGCTACCATTTAGGTGTTGGAAAGCTCGGGGAAGGGGAACAGCAAGAGATGTGAAAATAGAAGATTCTTCCCTCTGGTTGTGCCCTTACAAATACCCAGTTAGAATTATTATTTAATTTGTTCTTTCTAAGTGGCAGCCTTATTCCTGGCAGATCTGCAGACGTGGTGAATAGTGTTATTGCTAAAGCATCATTTGGCAAGCAGCAAAGAGTAATAAGCTAGGAAGAAACAGGGACTAACAGAGTGTCTATATTTGAGACTCACAGAAGGAACCTGGTCAGAATGTCAGTAGCTTCCACCACTCTCGCTGTCTAGAGCGGCCATTCTCAATGGGAGCTAAATGGCTCCTGGGGGTGGGGCTGGCACATCTGAAGAGGGCCACAGACTGGAAACACTTCTTCACATACCGCCTTATAAGGTTTGTTACACAATTTATACAACCTTGATTTGCCTGTATTTCTTTCATATCGTGTTGATGACTGTGGTCAAAAGGAAGTTGAGAATGGCTGATCCAGAGCATGGACAGTTCTAGTTTTGGCAATGAGTTAGCCTCATGGCTACAGTACTGCTGAATGAATGAAATCTAGGTGTGACAGTCAGGCTAGTTTCCTATCCATGTAACATAGCAGGAAAAACTCATAGGCTTATACAGTACATCCAAATGAAAGCAAGATGCAGAAAGGGAAAAAAAACTGGTCAAGCTAGAATACATTCCACGTGTCATTAGTTTGCCAGTATCAAATAAGTTAAGAGAGCTCTAATTTTAAAATATGTCTTTTCTTGTCTTTTCTTTATATTATATATAAAAGAAGTTATGCATATGTTTCTCATTTGATAAAAATTTCACCTTAATTTAAAAAATAAACTGAGAGCAACAAATATATATATTTTTAATAAAAAGAATAGCACCGTTTCTATGCTCCAGGTGAAGCAGCCCACACACAAGTGCATATGTGCGCGAACACACAAAAAGACATACAACTGTGCTGCAGGCAGTAGAAATGGCAGCAAGGTCAGCCTCAGACCCAGTCCAGTCCTCTGTGTGTGTGTCTTTCAAGAGACTCTGTGCAGGCTAAGAGTGGGCTGACCGCCTCAAAAGCTGGGGCTCCTCTTTTGGTCATGTAGGACATATAGGCAGCCATGTTGACCAGCCCTCCCAAGGCTAGGAACCAGGTGCGGTTGATATACTTCTGTTTCTATCCTCCGGTGCCAATACCTGTCAAAAATGTAAAACAAAACAAAACCATAATTGGAAACAAATATCTTCAGAAAAGTAAACAGGAAGGAGTGAATACAGAGAGCCCTTTTACTATGAGAATTCACAATTAATGTGTATGGATGTGAAAGCTGGACAGGGAAAACATTCATTTGAAAGATGAGGCTGGAGATGAGCTTTACTTATACCATGGATCAACCAAAAGACAATTAGGTGCTAAATCATGCACCTATTTTCTCTTGAACTTTCTCTTGAAGCAAAAATGACTAAACGGAGCCCATCGTTGGACACATCATGAGATGCCAGGATTCAATGGAAAAGACAATAATGCTGGAAAAGTTGAAGGCAGCAGAAAAAGAAGGCCAAGCATAAGGTGGACTGATAATGACACCACCTTTTGGAGGTCACTAATTATAAGTTGCCCTAAGGTGGAAGCAACTTGACAGCACATAACAATACAGCCCTATTGCCACCTTTTACCTGCATCTGCCTGTGGTTTGCATTGAAGCTCACAGTCTTCCTTGGAGTCGAAGCGGTTGTAATTCCCTCTGCACCCACTATAGATGAAGGGTCGGCACTCAGATACTCTTTGGTTATAGTACCACCGTAATGTGTACATACTGCAGTTTCCCTCATCCAGAGGTAAAATGCATGGATTATCTACAAGGGAAGGGGAAGGATAAAACAAACCAATAAATTAATTTTTTTAGGGTTTAGGCATTCACTTTCATATGTTACACTTGGCACAACCCAAACAGAAAACACTGCACATCTTCCCTAGTGCTCCAAACACAAATCTAAGACAATGCAAAAGCAGGATGGAAAGGAGCCATAGAGTGTTAGTAGGCAACATTTCAGAAGGTTGCACTTGGGTATATTCTGATTCATGTGTTTACACCTAAAGACTGATACTGAGGTATGCAGTGTACCAGTATAGTAAATTGTGGCATGGCTTTTGAATTAAAGCTAAATATTTTACTTGTCATAATCAATATAGTGGAGTTGTTTCCATTGATAAACTACAGACATTGTAATTGCTTGATTCTATGAAACAATATTCAGATACTATTTTCAATGCATTTCACTGTCAGCCTTTTTCATCTTAAGAAAGGGAACCATTTCTTCAATAAGAAAGGGAATCCTTTCTCCACTGTATTGTTGCAGCTTACTGTATATGCAAAACTGTAATGCTCAATATGTTTACAGATTACGGGGAACTTGTTTTGAGCAGATTGCTAAAAAACAGATAAAATTTTTATGAGGCTGTTGTGGAGTAATCTGATGCACACTTTCTGATGAGTGTAAAAGTAATCACACAGGAAGATGGGAATCAGATGGCAACATCTGCTTCAGAAATATAAGACAACTCAGTTGTTATCTCATATGACATCGACTCACAATGGTCTATATGCCCCTTTGGAACTATTGCTCACCTTTTCTGCTAAAAGTTCTGCTGTGACAAGATCTTGCTATCCTATGGTGAGTAACATGATGTTCAGATAGGTACTGGAAGTTAGGTCTTGCATCAGTCTGAGCAGTTACTATCTGATCTAATTCATAAGGACTAACAGATAAGTTTGCTTTTTGTCTACAAGTAAGTAAACAAGATAGCCTTTAGTTGAAAGGCTGCAGTTGTTCCTGGTGTACCTGATTTCTTCATAGTTGCAACTCAGATGTTAGGGAATGACAGAGAGAATTACTTAGAAAAATGTACATTTAATTTGCCTTCATGTTTTCAATTTATAGATTTTCTCGCAAGTTTTGTGACATCTAAGGATGCTGGTTATTCATCCAGAACACAGAAGCCAACATTCTTCTGGACCACAGGCTAATATAGAAGAAGTGCAGCAATCTTCACAAAGGTCTAGCAATATGCTTTCCAAATGCCATTCCTGTCTTTTAACAAGACTGAATGTTTATTTTAAAAGTAATTTAAACAATAGCTCCAGCAGCAAACGCCATCTCCACCGAAAATAGAGTGTGATACAACTGTATTTGGTTTTGCTATGGTGCCTGTCACCTCCCCCCCCCCGAACAACAGCAGCCACAGGGGTCAGGAAAAGAAAAAAATCCTGGCAAGTTGCAGACATTTTCAGAAGCTATACATTTCCAACCTTGGCCTGGACAATCTGTTGTATTACTTATAGTCTGAGACGCAGGAGGAAACAATGGATGTCGTCCAATAGGATGGAAGGAAAGGACACTTTTCCTTTGAGAGAAAGGCCGTGCGACAGGACTGCAACTTACCTTCCTCTGAAGGATTTCTCTTTTGCTGTCCATGTTTGGGAGCTGCCCTTGGGCCCTTTACTTCTACAAACAGGGAGCAGAGTAGTGGTTTAACAAGTTATGGCTTCTAGTGTCTGTCTCCATCTTTCCCTTGCTCTCCCACACATTGAAAAGAAGGGCAAAACACTTAATACATGCAGTTTGGGTTCAGAGGAAGCACAGAATATTTTTCTGAGGGAATGGTGGGTGGGACTAAAGGCTAACATGACAATCCCACTTTCCATTTGCATAGAATATATGGTGAACGGTGGCCATTATGTTTTTCCCATTTCACTATTGACATGCTCTTTCGTCTCCAAGATTAAAAGCTATAAAATTGGACACTGTGTTTTATGGATGAATAAACCAAGCGTACAGAAGGTTGAAATATTTGAAACAAATGTTTTTGAAACTTATGAGGAAAGGCAGTCACATGATGGCTGAAATCCTGTATGTTCTAGTGTAACCTACCATTACACCAACATAAGCATGCCACACATTATGCCCAAGCAACCAATGTTGCACAATTAGATTGTGTGAACCACTTTGTCGCTCCTATCACAATTGTTGTGGGGCCAAATGCAAACATACTCTGCGAATAACACTTCTGCTCTGCTGCACTTTCCACTAATGCTGCCATAGCTTTGTGTCATGCATTCAGAGCTGTGCAAAAGGATTTCAGCCAGCAAGTTCTTCCTGGTGATAGTCTCTTGTCCTACTTTTAATGGGACAGGAATTCTGCAAACGCATTTCTTGAAAAGTCTTATCATTCAGACATCTGTCAGAAAACTCCATTTGGCCAGATTTTAGCCCAAGGAACACAAAACATTTAAAACTGAATGCTAGATTGACTATATACCCTGTTTTCCCTGAAAATAAGCCCTTGCATGATTTTTCAGGATGCTCGTAATATAAGCCCAATCCCCAAAATAAGCTCCAGTTAAGTGAAATCCCACCCTCCACACTGTGCAGCAACCAGAAGAAGATGACATGACTGTATTTGAATCAATGTAGATGGTTGTACATTAAAAAAAACCTTCCCCTAAACATAAGCCCTAATGCTGTTTTTGGAGCAAAAATTAATATTAGACCCCATCTTATTTTCGGGGAAACATGGTAGTCACCATGCAGGGATAACAAACAAAATATGATTCAGCTTTTGGAGATGAGAGTTATCCCCACAGTAAGCTATAGAGGGTTTCTTTCTATCTTCAGCCCTGTGGTGGAACCTTCTTTGCTTATGGGTGGTCTACATTCTACATTCTTCCCAGGGTGAGAAAAGACACCTCTGCCAAGACTGCCAGCTTGTGGTTGTGGTGAAGAATAACAAGTACTGGTAAACGAACTAATACTGTAATGTCTTTGGAGCAGTGAACGCAAAAACATGGCAATCATTTGTCTGTTTCCAGGCTCAACTACTTTTACTGATCTGTTTCCCTGGGCGTGAATAGAGGCCCCTGGCTCTTGCTATGCATCTCCAGAGGATTCCTGGCAGAGTTGTGTGTGTGTGTTTTTTTCCTCTCTCTCTCACAATCCCTCCACCACTCCTTTAAGCATGCTTGAGGTGGAGCTCACCGTCCCTCAGCAGGGGGCTCTCTGGCTCATGTGATCCTAGGCCCTCTTCGTAGTCCTCGTCCTCTGTGTAGATGTACTCATACTCAGGTTCGTCTGACTCCACTATTTTTTGTCCCCCTAGGAAACGGAATGGCTGGTTGAGAAGGGCTCCGAGAATGAGGAAACCAAAACGTCAAGAAAAGAACAACAGGTGTTGTCTTTGCACATTCTCTCCTCCACTCTTTGAATGTGTCTGATGAAAACATCCGATCTGATAGAGGAGGCTGGGCCTTTGAATGTGCCTCACAGCATATAGGTTGCTGATCTGTGCCACAGAGGTCACACACCCAAAGGCCACAGTCCGGAGCCGTGTATAATGTTATGTACTCTAATGTCAGTTTTCCCGTAAAGAGCATCTTAGGTCACTTTATACCAGACGTCCTTTATCACACGCCCAAAGGCCACAGTCCGGGGCCGTGTATAATGTTATGTGCTCTAATGTCAGTTTTCCTGTAAAGAGCATTCTTAGGTCACTTTATACCAGACGTCCTTTCATGCAACATCCAAAGACTAGGCCATCTTACTAGGCTGCTAATATATCAGACGTACTGTCACTCTGATAATAATGGTTTGTCCGTTTTTGGGTGTCATTGCTACTGTAAATATAATTTCATTCAATCCAGCTGCATTTCTTTGTCGTTGAAAAGAAGCAAAGGGGTCTTTAATTAGACATGTCAGGTATTAACAAATATAACGTGACATAATCTTTTGTTGGCTAGAACCCATCTGGTCAGATATATGATCCAGATTCCTTCTTGGATAAGAGATATATGAAGGAAGTAGACTATTTCATACATTTGATGAAGAGAATTCTGGTTAACAAAGCTACAGATTGTAATGAATGTGCTAGTCCTGAAGGACCCTTTGTTATTTTAACTTTATTAAGGTCACCACGGATTGACCTGAGACAGAAGGGCCCCTATATCCAAATGACGACACCTCTTTCTGCTGCTTTCTAAAGGACTCCCTCGTATTCCGTACAGTTAGTGTTGCCAAGGGGCATGGCCATGCAGTTGAAACTGCCAGGTGCCAGCAAGGAAATGTGAGGGTGAGGGCACAAAGTCTACATATGCTAACAGATGTTACTGTGCACAAGGAAACACAGAGAAACACAACTCACCTTCATCTTCCTCAGTGTGGGACAACTTAAGCACAGGCACTATTTGAGCATTAACAGACGGGAACGGTTGGGTGGATGGATAGTTGGGGATGAGACCTGAGAGGGGCAAGGTCACAATGCAAACTTCAACACACACATAAAAATAATTAACACAAAGCTCATTCCTTGCCTCAAGACATAAAAACAGGCAGACCACCAACCAGGGTTCAAGAATCACACCTGTGTTGCCCTTTTCTATAGAATGGAACCAGGCATTGTGTACAATATAAGATCCTCTTGAAATAAGGTTTGCACGATAAGCCAGTTGGGACAGTTATAGGCAAACTTGTTTTATCTCCATCAACCTAGTAAAGCAACATTGATGATTTAGGCAGATGTTCCCACCTTCACTGGCAGAGGATCTCCTGAAAAGCAGGCTGGCCTGCAAAGCTTAATTTTCTAACAGTCTTCTTCTGAACAGGGCACAAAGAGTGCTCTTGGCCACTGGATTGTTAGAGTGGGTCAAGGATTCAGCAATAAAAGCAATGCACAACTAAACAAGGCAAGCTACTAATCAAACACCAATAGCAAATTTATGTCAAGAAGACACATAAGCACAATATTGGAGGTTTCCAAGTGTGCAGAGATTCTCACTAACAGACTAGAAGAAATATGATTTCAGGCACAAACATAAAGGTAAGCATAGACACTGAGAAGCCCCATGCATGCTTCTCATACCTTTGACAATGTCAGGCAACCTTCCTCTCAGTACAGACGGTTGACTGATGCTCCCTATCCCTTACCTCTGAAACGTCGTCTTCTGTTCCTTGCATGCTTCCCCCCCCCCATCCTTTAGAAAATCATCAGGTAATAACCACTATCATGTTTATTGGAGATTGGCTACCTGGTTTGCTGTTTTCCAAGTCTGAGAATCAATTTGATCCAGTGAATGAAGTCCTCCATTTTGAACTCAGAAATAAAGAACTGGACCCCCTAATCCTGAAAGGGCACATTCACAAGGAGGCCCAGGACTTGAAACATGGGGCTGTGCCAAATATTCAAAAAGCAGAGGTGATGAGGAGACTCAAGAGTTGGAGGAAAGGATTTGTGGGTGGGAACTGTGTGGCTAATCTTTCTGCATGTTATCACTTCCCTTGTACTCCCACCTCCCAGATACTTTGATCCTACATGCATAGGTACCATGGCTAGAGAAATGGAGTCCAGGGGGGAAATGATGGGCATGACATGGGCAAAGACCCTCCACTGTGCTTGTTTCTTGTCTCCTCCAAATACCAAAAGGGCCCCCCCACCCCACCCCATCATTTCAGAAGGTCAGTGGAAACCTAGGCTCCCAGGCATCCAATTTAGCTTTGAGATAATATCACTCATTTTGCATTTCTCAACTGTAAAATAAATTTGCCTACCTAGTTGACAGGTTTGTTGTGAGACAAACGAGACTATTTTTAAAACTTGGCTTTGGACATTAAGAGAGGATAGGCTTTTATTTTAACTAGATTACACTTGAAGTACATAAAACAATATGTTTTGATTCCAACAACCTCAACAAATTAGCTATTGCATGGCAATTAATCAGTCATCTCTTGTATCCCACCATTCCACTGATACACCTGACAGTTAACAGTTCTGTATATCTGGGAACACATATAATGTTTTTAAAAATTAACTATGTGTTAAATCCTGCTGTTTAACACTAGAGGAGATTATGTGGAGAGGAAGGCAGTTAATTGCATTCAAAATACTCACGTCGTTCAGGAGACAATTGTCCTCCACAAGCTGAAATGAGAAATGGAGTTTTATTGGATGGGTCACCAGCTTAGTGCTAACCATGCCTGTAGAAAGCAATTACACGCAGGACCCTAAACCTAGTCAGAGAAGCAGTTCGTGCCGCTTGATACAAAATGATTTCTTCCCCCTGGAGAGGGTAGGTTGCTGTAGCCCTCCATTGTTTTCTACCATTTTCAAGGGAGGAGGGGTTAGGCAAGGGTAGGCCCTCGTGGCTTGGGAGGGAGGGAGGCACAATACTGCACCTCAAAAGACCAAGCCCACTTGCCCTCAGGGGGGCTTGACAATGTGCGAGGGCATCTGCATGTGTCCTTTTGCTATATTGTTACAACAAGCCTTTTAAAGGCATCAGTGGCTTTCTGTCTTCATTAGAACCCCATGGCTGAAATCCAGTAGTAGGTTACAACTAGAGTAACCTCATGAAATCAGTGAAACTTACAGAGGAGTTGACTGACTGAATCCTCACTGATTCAATGGGCCTACTCTTGTTGCAACTTACTACTGGATTTCAACTAGGTCACTTAGGATGGTCCAAAACTGCCACTTAGCACCATGTTGCCTAAATCATTCAAACGCTCAATTTGAAATCTCTGCTTTTAGGCCCTGAACAACTGCTACATGTTATATGGAAGATTTGAACTTTATCTCCTCACAATTTTCAGTGTGGGTACTGCCAATTTCTTCAGTCCAGCAGCCCACCCAAAAGGTGGTGGTGGAGGAGGTATAATCAGCCTTTTCTCCGTGACACTCTCCCCTCAGGAATTTATTGATTGATTGATTGATTGAAAGCCTTTTCTCCATGACACTCTCCCCTCAGGAATTTATTTATTTATTTATTTATTTATTGGACTTACCGGTATATACCGCCCCATAGCGCTACAAGCACTCTCCGGGCGGTTTACAATTTTAATTATACAGGCTACACATTGCCCCCCCAGCAAGCTGGGTACTCATTTTACCGACCTCGGAAGGATGGAAGGCTGAGTCAACCTTGAGCCGGCTACCTGGGATTTGAACCCCAGGTCGTGAGCACAGTTTTAGCTGCAGTACAGTGTTTTAACCACTGTGCCACAAGTATCTTACCCTCTTTACCCTCTAAGCTACATAATTTTCACATGAGGAATATATGCAAGTACTTGTATGCACTTTCTTCTTTGAAAAGTGAGTGAATTTTGGCTGGGAAAATAGCAATGTGGGGAAAAGTAAATCAGCTTTTAATCCCTACCACAGCTGCAAGCAGATCTACAACTGCTCCAAGAACCAGTTCCATTTTGTTTTTTGAAGTATTGCAGAATCCAGGCACAGTGTTTCACCAAACAGTCTGACTTGGACAGAACATCCTGACGTGAGGGGGAAGGAGGAGTAACTGTCACTATAGAACAAGTAGGCATAAGGTCCAGCCAGGGCAACTGAAGTGACACAAACCTTTTAAATGAGGGAAAGGCAGTCCCGGAGAGGGGAATAGGTGATGAGGTAAAAAGTTAGCGATGGCTGGAGCCTTACCACAGTGCTGGCTCATTTCCTGCCGGACAAACATTCGAATCTCTTCTTCCTGCAGAAAAGACCAATGCAAAAGATGTTGGTTGAGATCTCTTTCAATGCTGTGATTCTCCCCACAGAGGATAACATGGTGTGAAATATCTGCAGGCAGAAGTGGGCAGAGGTTCTGAATCAAAACATTCCAGTGCGACAGAATAGGCAAAATGGAAAGAGTAAGGAGAGAAGGTTAAAAGCCTGCAGTAAAGAGAACGCAGGATAAAGTGATTGAAAAATAACACCCTGCTAAAGGAATTAAAACAATGGGAACAACTCTTTGGCAGACTGAAAGCTAGCAAGGTGCATATTGCCATAGAGTTTCCATTATACATATTGCCATACGGTTTTCATTTACAACAGACTGCCACAAAGGTTTAATTTTATTTTGATCCTGTGTCAGTATCATGGCATAAGACTCCATGGCATAAGACAGAAAAGGCGTACTCCCTTTCCTTCTCCTCACCATCATGCCAGGCTCTCCTTTCTCTCCTCTGGAGCCATCCAGCCCTCGGTTTCCCTACCAACAAAGAGAAAAGGAGATCAAGAAGGTGATTACAGAAGAAGATAAAGAGCACTTTGAGCTGAGAAATGTGTGGCCTCTTTCAGGAAGAACTGGGCTCTGAATCAAGAAGTGACACTAGATCCTTCAGATTTAGCATACAGAAGTAGCCAAGGAGACTTTGCTTAATTGCATCTTCTTGACTTTATCTAACTCTGACCTGCTCAGTCTTTGACTCCCTCCTCCCTCCATCCCCACCAACGTTCCCTATGGCTGCTGAAAACTATTGCATTAGGACTCCACCAATTGCACTGCTGTAGCCACCACTTATAGCCCCTTGTTGCCAGCCTAGGGGTTAAAAGCCAGAAGTATGACCAAGTTAAGACATAATCTTCAAGCAGTAAAATTTGGGGTGAGGGACAGGAAGAACTTGCTGAATCTAGAATGCTGTTTCTTTTCATGGATCATGTTGCTTTGTTTTTCTATTTCCCAAATTCTATAATCCTTCCAAGATCCATATTGATGGTGTACTCCAGGCCCTACATGCCTCTAGGTAACTTAGTTTAATGGATCAAACCCCACAAGAGCAAACTAGATGGCCAGTATATATTTGGAGGAGTAATTGGCTGGGTTTAGACCTGCCAAATCTGAATGAATGCCAAATTGGAAGTGACAGAACTGGTATCACGATGTATGAGCTAAATAAAATCTGCTGGTAGCCAAGCCACATCAAAAATAATTTGAATTTTTTTTTACAAACCTGTTCTCCTCTTTCTCCTGGCAAACCTGGAGGTCCTCGAGGTCCTGCAACTGACTCTCCTGGAGGTCCTCTTTCACCCTGCAGCGGGAAATCATACACACTGAGAAATTTGTGTAAACTCTGAACACCAGGGGGATGTCATTTGAAATAGTCATGGCAGAGCAGAATTCAGCAGATTCATGTCTTTTTATTATATAAGATGAATTTGTTTCCAGAATCTGTATTTTAAAAGGTCACAGCTCAAAATTCACTGTACATCTAAGAAGTCACTCAGGGGAAAACCTATAAATGCAAAGAATGTGGAAAACATTTCAGTGATCCCTCAGCTTTTACAGTACTCCAGTGCTCTTATTCAAGAAAGAAGCTCCATCAGTGTGAAGAATGTGAGGGAAAGCTAAGTGAACCTTTAAAGAACATCTATAGATTCACCCAGAGGAGAAATTTTTATAAATGTGCAGAACGTGGGGAAAGGTTCCTGTAAATTCCTTATTTTTTAAGTCTCCCCCCCCCCAACAACTAATTTCTTACCAAATGCTAACCATTCAATTTCAGCCTCTGTTGCTCAAGGAAATGTTGCCAGTTCTATGAGCAAAGAAGGAAAGAAGTTCAGATTTGTGCACAGCAAACACATGGAAACATTTGCTCTGCTACTTTCTATAATTTTGTGAGAATTTTCCCAGTCCCATGGGTTAGTGTTGCTTAATATGCAGTCCCTGCCTTTGTCCTAAGGCATCCTCTCATTAAAGAATCAAATTTCCATTTAAAAAAACCCAGAAAATTCAATTCTTAGAACACCCTCTGGTTTATGAATGTGGGGATAGTGTGCTTCTGTATCCCTGATACAAAATGCCAGTCAAATATTGCTGCACAAGATCACGGCCACGCTGCCAGCAGGAAAAAGGATGCCAAGCTTTACATAGCAAAGGGCAGCCTGAATGTTGACCACACCAATGGCAGCACAGTCAAGATGGTCTCTCCAGTAGATACCTTCTAGTGTTCACTACCATTCACAAAGTAACAGCAAGCAAGGGAAAATTCCAAATGTTGAGTCCTTTTTTCATCAGTTATCCACTTCCAGATGCTGAGTCCTTTTTTCATCAGTTATCCACTTCCCTCCCAAATGCAAAGTAATTGTCAGGTATTGTCGTTTTTTTTAGACCCGTGTGAATGGTAGAGAGCAGAAGAGGGCATTTGTCACTTTAGAGGTATCACACACATCTGTTCTGGTACTGCAACCATTGATGATGTGCAACACAATTCCTCCCCCAGGCTTATTTTTGTTGTATCTTAACAGTTTGATTTTATTTCAAAATTGATCACTTTCATATTTTGCTAATCATGTTTAGGAGTGCTTATTGCACTCTGGAAAAAGAAAAAGAAAAGCCCAAAGAAGATGGCTAGTTACAGGAAACTGATTAGCAGTTGGAAACCAAACCCCTTTTGAGTAATACATATTACTGTTCTTTCTTTATTAAAAACTCACACCACTAAGAGGCTTGGGTGCTAATTGGTATATATCTATGCCCAGAGTAGAAGGAAATGAAAACAAGGAAGAGGAAAAGAAAAGTGAATTGTTATAATTCTGTGCGCCTGATTCTTGTGGGGGGTTATTTGGCATTTTACTGATATTTTACATTGGTCAAGTGCAAAATCCTTTTCAGAAATGTGAAGCACAATGTTCCACAACCATGATGCTCTACATCATGTCCAGATGCAGTTGCATGAGATGGAGATGGACTCACTGAAAGCAGTGAGGCTTTCCATATGTGCAAGGGGGTTGTGAATACCCCCTTTGGCAAACGCTGGGGAGACAAAACCAATCACATTCACAATGAATTCTTTAGAATCCATTGCAAAAACAAAAAAAAATTCTGCCCCATGAAAAGCAATGAATAGCCTGTGGGCTGGTTGACAGAGCAAAGGGGAAGACTGTACTATGTATTTCTTAAGGAAATCCACTTAAGATAGTGCAGGAGAGAAACATTATGTACATAAGTAAATGTGTTCCTGTTTGGAAATCTGCTGGTTTCCATGTTCAGAAATCTGCTATACGGTCTAGATAAGATGGGGAAGCAAGAAATAGAAAGTGACCTCAGAGAGAAAGAGATAAGGAAGCCTCAGATTATGATCTACATGTAGATTTATACAGACTAGAAAATACAAGAGAGGAAAACACACCTGAGCAATCTATCTGCTCATTCCATGTCTTCTGAATTCAGATCACCTGCCAGAGGTGTTCTATTCCTATACTCTCTGTGGAGATGTGGAGTTCAGGAGGCAACAGCCAACAATAGCTTCTGCCAGGTACACAGAGTAATGGAAAAATGGGCACTGGACTATATTGGAAATAGTCAGACTGTCAAATACTCACCTTCTGACCTTGAATTCCTTCTGGGCCTTTTGGACCAATGCTGCCAGGAGGCCCAGGAGGTCCTGGAGGTCCATCATTTCCCCTTGGTCCTGGGGAACCAATGATGCCTGGAGCACCCTTAGGGATAGAGAAAGAGAAAGAGAGAGAAGCATTAGGAACAATTTTGTAACAGTAGTTTCAGGTGCAAATAAAACTGACTGTACTGTTTCTAAAAAATTGTTTCAATTACTGATAACAAGAGGACTTAAATCTTATTCTGGTTCTTTACCGCAAGTAATAGGGTTCTTCATATCAACTGAAAATACCTGTAGTTAGTCCTTTTTATAGAATAAGGGAAAGATCTGACAGAGAAAAAAACAGCTCATCAGTGTTATTTCAAAGCTTTACACAAATACACGGTTCTGCAATTGAGTATTGTGCTTTACAAACTATCAAAACATTTCAAAGCTCATTTCCAAACTGCTTAATCCTCTTCAGACAATGTTTTTTTTTTTTTTTACTGTGGAATTGGTTTTAAGCAAGGAAAGACTTCTTGCTGGTGTTGGAATGGGTGATCTGCCCAAAGTGCTGCCATGGGTTGGCGCAGTAGTGGACCATGATGTTGTCCAAGAATCCTTCAATGCGGACTGTACCCAAGTACAGTGGTGCCTCGCTTGACGATTACCTCATTAGACGAGGAAATAGCTTGACGATTAGTTTTTTGCAATTGCTATTGTGATCGCTAAACGATGATTCAATGGGGTTTTTCCGTTTTACGACGATCAGTTCCCTGCTTTGGGAACTGATTTTTCGCTTAACGATGATCAAAAACAGCTGATCGTCGAGTTTCAAAATGGCTCCCCGCTGTGCTTTAGGATGGATTCCTTGCGTTATAGGCACTAGAAAATGGCTGCCCTATGGAGGATCTTCGCTGGACGCTGAGGTATTTCGCCCCTTGGAACCCATTGAACTGGTTTTCAATGCATTTCAATTGGCTTTTTTGTTTTGCTTGATGAGGATTTCGCTTAACAGCGATTTGAATGGAACAAATTATCCTCGTCAAGCGAGGCACCACTGTAGATGGTTTTGATTTCAGTGATCCTTTCAATACTGAGGGAAGTACTTAAGTAAAAGCTTTCTGTAGCTCTTGACAGAGATGCTAGAGAGCACATCTCAATTCAAGGTTGACTCCTCCACAGACTTAAGGCACTTCTCCCATAGACAAAGATAAGGTTTCGGCCCCTACTTGATGAACCCCTGGCAAATTAAGCAAGACTACAAGAGGTGGGAATGGTTACCTTTTTTCCATAGGCTTTTCAGATAAGGCTACAAGAATGGGCAAAGCCCATATTAAGCAAACAGAACGACCATACAAGTACACTCAAGCTGAGGTGGGGAAGGCAGGCTGCCAAGCACAAACTTAAAGGAACAGTGTATTCACAGAAATTTAATACTTAATTGCAGGGGCTGGTTGTCTGTATCTTAACAGTCCTTCTGTGCTTCCTGCAGGAATGGCAAGAGGAAGAAGATAACTTTGCACTAATTAGGGAGACATTTAATGAGGGAAAAGTTCTCCTCTCATTCTCTGCTTGAGCAAAGGAAATTATCATGATGCTGAAATTCCTTGAGGGGGGGTCTCATGGAACTGAGTTGGCCCAGTTCAACAAGAATGAAGCATCTAATGAGTATTCTTCAGATCCCTAATGAGAAGATCACAACCAGAAAATGTGGAAATAGCATCCTTTTGGATCCCATTGGAAAATATCGCTACTTTTCAGTTTTTTAAAAAACCACATACCCGATCCCCTTTTTCCCCTTGGTCTCCTTTGGATCCTTGCTGGCCATCAAATCCCCTGTCACCCTGTGAACAAAACCAACATACTGATTATGTGTCTGAATGAAATTATCTTGTGAGATTAGTTTATACTGTAGAGTCTGAAAATGAAACATTTCATGAATGCAGAAACACAGCTCGGCAGGGCAGTCATAGCCATACATCCCAGAGGGGGCAAATCATTTGCCAGCTTGCTTGCCTGGACTCTCATCATCACATATGGAATGGAGACAATACAAAATTTACAGAAGTGGTCATATGTAAAATACCAGCAAGCAAGATCTTCCATCTGTGTGCACCTTCCAACTTTTTTAAAAGTCTGAAAGCCTTGTAGAGAGAAGTACTTTGTGGGATTGTCTAGAGATCCTCTGTAGAAATGAACATGCCAAGGTCTGACTGTAGCTTCATCTCTAGGAAAGGTCAGGGAAATCTGCTGCTACAGACAGATTTGAATTAACCACAGTCCATTCAGCAATTAAAAAAATAACCCTGAGGTGTACATCTTTAGGGTCCTCTTAGCATCCATGCCAAGTTTCAGGCATCTCCATTTCAGAGTGCTGGAGCTCTGGTGAATCCAGAAAATACAGACCAACATGTTGTTTCTTGATAAATCAGCATCCGTTAGCCCCTACCTTTGGTCCTATGAGACCTTCCTTCCCATGCATCCCTGGGGTTCCAGGCATGCCCACCTCTCCCTAGGAAGACAAAATAAAAGATAAGTGGAACTGCCCAAATGATTTTACAGACTAATCTGCCTCCGTGGTATATGCTTCAAACACTTACAGGTTCACCTTTCCTTCCAGGAAGTCCTGTTCGGCCTGACAGGCCAGGATCTCCCTAGAACAGAGACAGAAAGGGATATTATCAGGAAAGGATCAGAAACTCATTCATCCTAAAAGGACAGAAGACTCAAGTCTTCCCAGTTTTCTTCTTGATAGCTGTGCAGTCACACATTATGATTCTGGAGTAAAACTTAAAAACACCCAGGAGAAAATCTGGCACTGACCTTCTCACCCTTATCTCCATCTTGGCCACAGGCTCCTTTCATTCCACGGTCCCCCTACGACAGGAAAAACAGAATATAACAAACTTATTGTAACAATCTGAATATTACTGTATTTTTCTGTGTATAAGACACCCCCCACTTTTCTAATCCAAAATTAAGAAATCTAAGCAGGGCTTAGCAAGTGCAGGGGGAAAGGGATCAAAGCGCTGCAGGATTGCTTTGATCCCTGCTTTCCGCTCCACTTATTTTTGTTCTCTCTTAAGCTTACTTCCATGTATAAGACGACCCTCAATTTTTGGTCTAAAGATTTTAGACAAAAGTATAGTCTTATACATGAAAAAATACGGTACTTTTAATTGTTTATAATGGCTTATCTGTTCATGTTTTAGAATAGTTTTTTAACAAAAACAAAAACAGCACAGCATAACAAGAATATCAAGAACCATAACAAAAATTCCAGGCTGTTTACCTGTAATGTTTGTTCTCTGAGTTTTGCTTTTGTTATGATTCTTGATGTTTTGCTTTTATTATGGTTCTTGATGTACTGTATTCACATGTATTAATTGTGCAGCTGGCCCAAGGCCACATAGGTTATTATGGTATGTACTGTATTCACATGTATTAATTGTGCAGCTGGCCCAAGGCCACATAGGTTGGCTCTACATGCAGGAGGCACACTGGGGAATCAAACTTCCAACCCCTGACTCCACACCACAGCACCGTATTTTTCGCATCATAAGTAGCTAAACTACTGAGTTATCCAGACAGCTTTGTTTACTGTCCAACTTTCCCACCCATACAAACTGAACAGGAATACAATAGCATGGATGACCTTGGTTCTGATCTCCAGTGACACTTAGTATTTTTAAATTTCTTTATTGCATCCCTTACGAGTCTCACTTTTTGTTTGATTTCGCTACTGTAGTCTCCATTCGGGTTGATGATTCAACCAAGATATAACAAATCTTTAACAATTTAAGTTTCTTCATTGTCAACATTGAAACTCTCTAGTTCTTCAGTAATTGTGACTTTTTGCCTTCTTAATGTTCAGTTGCAGACCTGCTTAGGCTCTTTCACTTTCATCGGAGGTTGTTTCGTCATTGCTGCTTTCTGCCAGTAGGACAGTATCATCTGCATAACTTAAATTATTTGTTTCATCCACCAATTTTCAGTTGTGCTTCATCTGAATCTAGCCCAGCTTTCCATATGATATGCTCTCTGTCTAGATTGAACAGATAGGGAGATAAAATCCACCCTTGTTTGACACCTTTGCCTATAGGAAACACATTTTATTTATCTGTATTCTGTCCTAATGGTAGTTTTCTGTCTGAATATAGGTTACACATCAGGACAATCAAATGTTGAGGAACACCCGTTTCTTTCAGAACAACCTATAGCTTCTTATG